GAATCTGCATCATATTTCCATATTCTCCCATCCAATTAAAAATAATTTCAAAGTAATTTATTGAATGATCAATAATTTAGTCGAGTCACTCAATGAAATGTTGTCAAAGGACGATCCTATTTATTCCAATGCAGTCCTGCTTCTTTATTTCAATTAAGACTAAAAATAAGAAGCAGGTTTTAGGTGGTGAGTTGATGTTGCCTGCTCAGAATGTCAGCAGTCGACTCAGTCAGTGCCTGCAACATATTATCGGTTTATGAAACAAGCCCATTGTGCAAGCCCATTAACAGCGATTCACCCAATGAACACCCAATGGGGGGAGTCAAAAATAACAACAAATAATTGTAAATGTTGGTTCAATTTTGGAATTCCCAAAACACTCGAAAGGTAATTTTTGAAAAACTCATTTGCATAATAGTCGTGAGTCTTGAGAAAAATCCAGAAGTTAATCTACATATGGACTAAATGGCTAAATGAAATGTAATGACTCGAAAGTACATCAAGGAAATCAACAGGAAAGGCATATTATGGTATTTAGAAGTGGTAGGCTGCATTTGGGCAATCACCATGAAGCAGAAAAGACGCTAGTTAGCTTGTTGTCATTAAGGCTCTAATAGCAGCCAAACCTGAAGAAAAACGTACCCCTGAGAGGATGCAAAGGACGAAGACATGCAAAAGCACTGACTATGATTGTCACGAGGCAGTGCGCTCAAATTCAATTAGAGTGTGAACAGCAGTACAAACAGGAATAGTAATAAGCTTGTCCAAAACACGTCTTGCTTCATTTCATGTTGAATCGGCAGCGACGGTGTGCCGGGTGGACTGCAACGCTGGCACACAGCTCAGACTGTAATTTGTTTTATTGCCCTAACAAAACTTGTCACGCGAACTTTTTTTTTTTGTTGTTATGGATCAGATTTGGGTTAAATCAGGATTCTCCAACTCCAGTCCTCAAGGATCGCTTTTCTGCATATTTTCCATCGCTCCCTGATCAGCTCATCTTCAAGCTCTGCAGGAGCCTGATCACAATTCTGATAGTTTGCATCTTGTGTGGTGCAGTAGGGAGAGATGAAAAACATGCAGGACTGGAGTTTGAGACCCATGTTTTAAATGATTCCAGTCAAAACCTCTAAGACATCTTTGCTGCATACTGTACACAATTCACAGCTGATGTTACATTGCATCAGTTTGGTCAGCCCCCTCCCTTCCTCGTTTGACCATTAATGAGGTAAATTGCTGAGGTTATAAACCGATTCCACATTCTCCATCAGATTAGCGACTGTATTGCTTGGTCTACGCCCACTACCGTAATTAGCGCTCAACATTTCTCAAAAGACATTTCACAGCTCTTGTACAGAGGAGCCAGCAATGCTGAATGCCTCAAAGGCAGAATTATTTGCACTCCAAACTTCTTGGCAAAAAGATTCAGATGAAATTTGGAGGTTGAATAGACACCATGTGTGAGGACGTAATTGGTTTCAGAAAATCTTGCAAGACTTTGGTTCAGTAAGCATCTACAAGCATGTTTTGCTTTTGATTTGACAGACATACAACATAAATTGAGCCACTGAGAACTAGAGTGGGACAGCTCAATGTTTATTAATTGTATAAATGTAGAGAAAAAGGTACGGTATATATTTCAGTTGAATATTGGTATGAATCAAGGTTTAGTTCCACATTTGAAATATAGCAGTAGTCCTTCATCGTACTGGAACACCTTGAAATTATATTTCCTATGAGGAAAATTGTTTTGAAATTTGAAAAGCTTAGGAAGTCAACCAGCTTCAAGGAATTGGTTATGTTCCACTTTGGAGGCTCTACTGTAATTCCTTAGCTCAGATCTTTTTTTCCAGAAATGTTTGATAATTATTCATTCACACTTATGTTTAGGGACGGGATATCACAAAGGCTGTCTGTCTGTCATCACTGTGTTTAAAATATTTGCCTAGTACTTAATCATGCATGGGTTAACCCAGATGAAAGCTCACCTGACAAGGATTAAACCCTGCAGCTCTTCCCCCCCCCAATCTCTAAAGCAGCATTCTAAAATGACTTCTGAGCATTATTAGGCATAATTCCTTCATTCTACGATTTAGAAAATGATGTTCTGCTCAGTAGCTTATAATGAGGAGAAGAGACGAAGAGCCGACTGCCTTGTGACTGAGATGCAGGGCGACAGCTGACCTATAAGGGCTGACTCACCCCCACATTCACTTCACCACTAATATATTCACTTATTAACGCTCAGGGGAAGTGCAGTATTGCTGTGTAAGAACTCGCTCAGTGCTCTGCTAAAAAGCAAAATGTGCAATGTATTTTAAAAAGTACGATTTTACATACATAAATCGGATTACACGTCTATTAAAATGAAGTTTGTTAGTTAGATTGAATGCCACCGTCTCAGATTTTGTTGCGCTACATTGGAATGCCCTCAACAAGCGACTTCAAACATTTACAGCTAAAAATGTCAAAGCATAATTTAGTATAGCTCATTATAAATGAATGATAATGTTGTATGACAGTATAATGTGGTATGACAGTACAGTGAAGACACTTAGATTTTCCATATATGGTACTAGCCATCTTGCAAATAAATAATCCAACATTTAAGACAGTCATTACTATTACCATTTTGTCTCTCGTCGTCCATGTGCTGGTGAATTGTTTAAAAATGTGAATGGTATCAGTACCCTTTGAAGTAGTGTATATATTACCAGTACATTAAACTAGTTTATATATTCCAGACAATGATGCATTTTATTTCTCGGTTAGAACAAAAAGCAATCAATTACAGTAATGAGGCTGCTTTTTGTAGAGCAACCCGACACTGCGTTTAGGTGTGTCTGGATGTACACAAGACAGACAGCAGACAGTCAAAATGTTTTTGAATTTTAAGTCCAGTATTGCCTTGGACTCACACAAAGGAATCTGAAGACCCACAAACCAAAGACCTGAGTCTTATCAATGGTAGATTTGTGCACAAGATTAGGCCCCAAGGCGAGGCCTGTTTAAGATGTCATCATCATTAACGTCATTTGTCCGACGGCCACAGCGAGACAGAGCGGCCATTTGGAAAGACACCCAGTGAGGAGGAAGATGAAGACAGACAGCGCTGCTGGTCAGGAACAGGAAGATGGTTACATTAGGTCTAATGAGCAAATGTGAGCTCACACCCACGCTTTGCTAAATTGCAGCTTTTTGTTGGACATTCTTTTCCTCACAAGCATGTCATGTTTACTTCCTATAATATTGCCGTGACATAGACATAAATCATAATATTCAAGAGTTAGCACACTTAATACATCATAATCTTGTCATCCTTTCATGACCGCAAAGTCAAAAGATATGACTGGGGAAAAAACAATAATGCTGTTCTAATGAGGAGGTGGATTTCCATGGATGGAGGAGGCCCGTCTGTTGAATCTAGTTGGGTGACCGGCTGACATTAAGTGTGTGTGACACTTCCCTGCCGCAGGAGTTGTAGGCGCTAGTGTATTGTGACAGAGTGCAACCTTTAAAGGCCAGCGACTGATGCACAACAGCGCCCAAATCCCAGCAACTCAGCCTACAATGGTCCTCCTCCTAAGAGCATCTGTGGCCGCATATGCACGAAGATGTCATGTCACCGCTGCGGTGTGCACACAACACTGTCCCTTAGCTGCTCAGACAAAGACATCGCAGACTAATTTGACCGCTTCTAAGAAAACCATGTCAAGTCATTAATCTAACTTGCATACTTTAATAGAGTCATAATTTGAAGCGTACATAATGAAAAAAAAAATACAAAATGAGGAGCACAAGCAATGGCACTAATTACCATTTGAAGGCTGTTGGAAATGAAAATCATCTACTGCCACCTGCTGGTCAAAATTATTGACACCGTTAAAATAAAAGGAAAAGGAAAAAAAAAACTTTAATATATACTGTACAGTAACCTGTGGATAAGATAATTGTTTCAATGACGATGATGTGTTCACCGGCAGCAAGTTATTTACTGGAGCCTGCTAAGACGAAGCATTGGAAAAATTCAGGAAAGTATTAAATGCCAAGCATCAAATTATAATACTTTGGCTGTCAGATGTGCACTTTATGGCAATTTTGATCATTTAAAATGACACAAATCTCAGTACTCTTCTCACTGGGAAACAGTTTTCATAAATCGTTTATTGTGTATGCGACAGACATTTATATTTATATTTGTTGTGGATTGGTGCGAAATGAAGCACTGTAAATCTTTGACTGTGGAAGGCCACAAATGGTTAGCAAGTTTCTCCTCATGGGATTGGAGGGTCCTCCTCAAGTTCTTGGAACTCAGAGAGTCTTATCTTTGATAATTGCACTATTGACGCATCCTTCAAATTGTTGTGCTAAAATCATACAAGTAACTCTCAAGATCCGATCCCTATCAATAAACATTTACAGATGGTGGCCTGACTAGGCAACTTCAAATTTCATAAACATGATGAAATCAACACAATCTTGTTTTAAATACACAAAAACGGTGTGTGGGTCCTCGTTAGCTAGCAGTGAGCTTCGGCTGGCTAGCCTAGTAGGGCTAAACATTGGAGAGTCACTCGCAAGTCAGGAATCATCGCCCCGTAGCAGCAAAGAAGAAATACTTTTGACAAGTATTGTTCTCACCAAGGGATAATGAAGAAAGATGGAGAAACCATGCTAAGCGCTTAGCTAAAATTGACTGAAAGACCGGAATAAAGGGCTTGGGTGATCGAGTACACTTTTCACAGAAGTCTGACTGGAACCACGTTAAAGCGGAGTGTATCTAACTTTGAACAGCAACACACCCGGCAATTTAATAAGTATCTGGAGAGAAAATTATTCACGACAACAGCTGTGACAAGACTGGAACCGCAAATGCAACTTTAGACAGAAATGTTATAACACTGCTTTAAGATACGACCGCACTGTTTCCTAAAAATAATGTGTCATGTTTTTTTTTTTTTAATACACATTAAAAATAGAACAACTTTTTGTGTTCTTACCTCTCATAGATTGTCTTGAGAGAGACCTGATCAGACACGCCATCACTTTCTTCTAAGAAGAGGATGATCCATGACGTCCTGTAGGGCCACTCCTCAGTCAGATTGATCCACGACGCCAGACGATCCCAATTGAAGATTATCTGATTGGCACGCAACAGTCGACCTGCCAACAAAAGAGCAGACATGGCAGGTAATCACGCTGGCACAATAATTTAAAAAAAATAATAACAGTTAACTAGGGGGTCTGTGATTATGAAGCAGGATGTAATTATGAAGGTAGCTGAATTGAGAAGTATGCATGTTGTTTACCAGTGATAGAAACAATATTGAGCAGCCTCCTCATGGTCTGAGGGCTGATGTCGCTGAACCAGTCCTCAGTCACCAGCAGCTTTGTCAAATCGAAGGACATCTGCCTGGTGATGGTCCTCTGCATCTGGCGCCGCCGGTATGTGTCCTTCAAAGATAGCCATCATTTTTTTTTTTTGAATTACATTAGCTCAACTTAATATTTTTCATGCTGAGAAGGGTAACATATGTCTCAATATGAAAGGATGCTGAATTAATGCTGATATTTAAACAGTGAAAACCGTGAATAGAACTAATCATCCACAACGGTTTAAAAGGAGTGAAAATTATTTCCTGGAATTCGTAAATCGGCCGTGTGCCCCATGAAGGCAAACTGAAACCAACTGTATCATGAGACCCCAGAGATGGCCTTCAGGGTCACCATGTGATCTCAGGCCAAGTCACTCAAAAACATGATGCGGAAATAAAAACGTACATGGCTCATATGCCAGACCTTATCTGCAAATAATTCATGCTTTTTTTTAGTAATATATGCTTCTAAATTGGGAGTCCCTTAAGAACAAATCAAGGGAACAATGAATGGGACTCTCTCAAAAAATCTTTCCAGCCACATTCTTATCCAGCAGCCTGTCCTGTCATATAATCTGCGAAAGAGAAAAACTCTCTGTGACTGCAAGAGAAAAACAAATCAAAGAGCCACTGTCCCAAGCAGAACAGTCATAACATGACACACAGGCTAGCTATTGACACAGATCTACCGGGGAACATCTGTGATGGTATCAGACAGCTGCCATGGTCATGAGCCAAGATGAGGCTTTTGGTCGACTTTGAAGTCGTAATACCACTCTTGTGACCTCTTTCTCGGAGATGAAACATATGGCCAGCCCTCAGTCTGGGCCCAAAAGGTCCAAGTTGAAGATAGACTTAAGAGTTTTCAAGCCGTACATCCGCTTTGCAGACAGGCTACCATTTGACAAGTCAGACTAGGTGAAATTTATTTGCGGTCAAAAAGCATGTATCATCTCCATTTTGACATCTCCCAAAGACATGCCCTTAACTTAAAATTTGCGTGTATGGAAAATTAAAAAAGTGTCTTTCTCTTGGTCACGTCATTGCGCTGGTACGTACTGGAATATTCAGTCAGTAGCAGGCTATGCACCTGGGCCTAATCCACCTTTTAATACCACCATGATCATGACGCAATTACAGAATCAATTACCAGTAAAAAAAAAAAAAACACAATACAAAAGTAAACAACTGTGCCACGCACATCATTCGGAACAGTTCAGAATCAGCAATAATAACTTCATATCTCTCTCTCTCTCTCTCTCTCTCTCTCTCTCTCTATATATATATATATATATATCACACACACATACACACACACAATAAAATATGATGTAACAAAAAATACATCACACTCACTAGAGATGCTGAATATGAAATATGTGTGAAGATCACTATAGATGTGTTCTGTTAGTCAAATTGGGGTTGCTCCAACTAACCAATCAGAGGGCAAAAAAATAATAATAATCTGATTTTATGGTGGGCCATACCTGGTGAATTTGAAATCTGATTGGTGACAGAAATGGTCCCAGTGTTTATGTAGTTTACTGTAAGTTAAATTGGCCAGCACTAACATTGATTCCAAAGGCCCTGGATCGATTACACTGACAGGGCAGCGCATAAATTCTGATCTGATTGGACGAAAAAAATCCACATTTGTTTGCATATTACCTACACAGTAATAAAAATCATTACTTCAAACTACAAAATGAGTGATGAAAATGAGTCATTCTTTCATTTCCCTCCTACAAAGAGAATCAAGGACAGAACGCCTCCAGCATCAAAGGGCTAGCACCAGCATTTGAGGGTGCCAGAGGTCTAAAAAAATGTTTATCAAACAAGTAAGGGAGGTGGGGAGGGAGTGGCGAGATCATGATAAGTTCTCGCAGGGGGCAGGAAGGCATCAGCTACAAGCGGCAGTGTCGCTTAGCCTCCTGCCAGCAGAGCCGGTGCCAGTGTTTTGTCGCGGGGACCCACTGCTGCTGCTCGGCCTTGTCATTAGATGGGGGCGACGCAGCGGGAAAGATAAACAGCTATTACATCAATTACACCAGGAACCTTGGCTGCACATCGAGCACCCCACTCAGTCTTCGCTCACTCTACATATCTGTGTGTCTCCTCCTGTCCACTGGCCTACACGCCGCCTGCCAAAGCCACGCCTGCACTAAGCATCCTCCTCAGGAGGCGGCGGAAATGAGAAAGCAGCAAGGGTTTCCATGACACTAAGTCTCACCCTTGGCAGCAAACACTTTCCTGAACAGACAGGATGGAGGGTGAATACCATCACAATGGAGTAATAAATGATTTATTTGAGATTGCTACAACATAGAAAATGTCCACTGCCTCCTTGAGGGATCTCAACCCATGCCAATAATTCCCATGTGTATCGGTGATAGCAAAGTAAAGTGTGATGCTACCCATATAACCTAAAACGGTTCTTAAAATTGTCCTGGTTGCTTAGTACTGTACAACAATATAAACATTTTGACGGGAAACTGAATTTGTAGTCATACCATGAATAATTTCTTCCAGATGTTGTACCATGATTAACAATGTTAAGATTTTCTCCAAAATCTTGCCTAAATGGCTAATTAAAGTTTTCCGGTATTACAGCCTTCATTTATTATATAATGGGAAGAATGAATTCTAATCTTGTACAAATTAGAAGTCAAACAATAACCTGAAACAGACTGCGTTCGACCTCGGGGGTTTCACTCTACATGTTTTAAAACAAGCTTTACCCTGCGGTTAAGGGCGGTCTTGCTGCCAAATTTTGCCTGGTCTGGAACCAGGCTACTCTGAGACATCTTCTTGTCAACATCTTCAGTCCATCCTGGGGTAAAGGACAATCGAATGAGTAAAATATTCCTTTTCACCAAAACTCCTGAGATGCATTTTGCTATACCTTCTGCAGCTAAACTGTCGCCATTAGTGGGTGCTGCCATGCAGAGCTTCCTGGCAGTGCTGAGACCTCTGCTGTTGAGGAACACTGGCAGGTGGACAATGTTCCTCATGTAGTCGTGGCCGTTGATGTTGGAGTCTCTCAGCACGCTGTTGAGGTTTTGGTTGATGGCTTTAATGATGATATGAGGGTCGCTGGCAAAGATGGAGATGAAGGGCCCTTTAGAGAAGAGAACTCGCACCTAGTCAGAGAAGTGACAGTAAAATATGTCAGACAAAGGCTCGATAATTCATTTATGGATAGCTGTTGACAAATTGTTGTCATTTAAACCCATAGTAATAATATTTGGACAAACATTTGGATGAGCATGTGAAGATGACTGAGACAGAGAAGTAAGCAGTGGAGGCTAATTGTGATAAATAAAATCCAAGGTTTATCCAATTTAAACATAATCCCCTCCATAAACGTACTTGATGTGGTCAACAACATCCTATTTTATTAAATGTGTTGTTGCTCAGTTTAATTTTTTTTTTTTAAGAGGCTCAGTTTGATTTTTTTTAAGAGAGAAGAACAGTTAGCACAACTAAACTCATATTAATTTGTCTAAAAGGAATTAATCGAATCAAAGAGGAACGTGTTTATGGATATTGTCATTCATCCAGGATATTTCAATCAAAAGTGTACAGCTCTCTTTGTCTTAGAAGGCATTTTGGCTCTCATCTGAGAAGGCTTTATCAGTTCATACAACAAGGAGCAACATAGTGACTTGTGGCACATTGTAATAAACCTCGTCTTTGCAAGAATTTATAGGGGATTTCCCATGGTGCTAACTATAAAGGATGGTGTCCAAGCGTCACAAAACAAGAGCTTGTATGGCATGTTTTCACGGTTTGTTAAACCTCGGCCATTTCGCCACACAAACTTAACATAGGGGGATGAACCACCGTTGCAGCAGCGTCTGTCAACAACATCATGTGAACTCAGCACAGTGCATGCGCTTACTTCAGACAGATGAGGAGATTAAATTAGCACACAGGAGGTCGCAATCTACTTTGGGCTCACTCCACAAAATAATAACATTTGGCTAAAGGTGGAATAATTCTATTAGAGCAGCTGGGAGCAGGAAGCTAAACTTAAAGGGAAGCTGCAGCAGCTGGGAACAACAGGGTGGCTGTACACCACCAGAGTGTGTTCAAAGACACTGAAAATTAGGCTCATGGGAACAAATATTCTTAAACTACAACAGTGACAACCACACACCGTGTCCAACATTTGCAGCACTTTGTCCTGTTCACAGGCATCCAGCCCGTCTATGATGACGGCCATTCGTGTCTGGTTCTGAGTAAAGCCATCGATTGTCTTGGCCATCTTCGACATTAGTTCTACCTCGTGCTTCAGAACCTGCCATGACAAGGACAAATAAAGGCTTCAAAATGTTTCCAAGGTACAGCGATAATTAGATTTTTCTGGTCAACTACTCAGAAATGCATATCGATGCAATTTAATTTACAATCTCAAAGAATTCCGTCTATCTCAGATGGGAACAAATGCAATCCATTTAGTCCACCTTCATAAAGCCTTCACTCTTAAGCTGGTGCAGATTGTTGGCAGCTCTGTGCAGGCGTTTCCTCTGGGAGTTGAGGACTGAGTCGCCCACCTGCCACCAGGTTTTACAATTGAATAGCAAGGCCAGGCCAACCACACTGGCCATTGCAATCAGCACTGCATTCACTGTCAGGTTCTCAGGGTCCACCTGGACACAAAGCACAGATCAGTCAGAAGCAAACTAAAGCAACAAAAACTGTTCCACATCATGCATTTTGTAGAATATTCTGGCAATTTCTCATCGTCTTAACCCACCTTAAATATTGCTAGCAATGCTAAGCCGGCGATGAGGCAGCACAGTGTCAAGGCAAACAGTACAAAGGATGGCACGCAGCATGTCTTTTTCCACTTTTTACCTGGTAGGTGGGAGGACAAGAATGATATAATCCTACTTGCAATGTGCAATCGCCATCAACAGCTTCCTCAACCACTTAATAATGCACTAATGGAGCTAAACACCAGTTGTGTCAAGCCCTAATTTACTTATTGCAGTATAATAAACCACGGTAACAAGAAGTCTCTGTCATACTCCATTCAGTGTACAAAGAAACATGTTAGATTTGTATGACATTGACCAATAAAATTTAAATCTGTCCATAGTAAATGTAAAATATAAAACTACAGTTCAGCTGTGAGTTTCTGGAAGGTAGCATTAGAACTGAAAGACAGCAAAGTTACCTTGGATTTCATCATTCTTGAAAACCCTAAACAGCCTAGTGGCCATGAAACCAAACTCCCTTTCACATGCATCTGAGAGCGTGGCAATCATCTCGGCCATGGACGTCTCCCCTCCGACACTGGACAGGCGATTGTAATCCGTAAACAGGAACCTGTCACCGATGAGAGTGTACACGCATGTATTTTAACACGCAAAGACTCCGGTAAAACAGCTAAAGGTGATTTGGATTCATTTTGTCTGGCAATGTCACCTGACAGGCAGTGCACGGGTTGTTTGTTCAGGCAGTTCGGGTGGATTGACAAACATCAGTTTGAGGAGAAGCTCCAAGTAGCCAATTTGTCGGGCAAGCCGGGTGCTGATGACCCAGGCCCAGTTCCAGCTCTCTCTCTCACGTCGGCTTCCAAAGTACACCAAAACTGGAGTCAAAACAAAACAACCAAGACTTGCAATTGAATTATTTGAACATGGGTACATATATACAATCAAGTACATTTAACTAGCCAGCTGTTTATTTTCTTCTGGCATGATTTCTTTTCAAACATCTGTTTATTGGTTGTCTAATGGCGCCCTCTAGTGAGCAACAGATTTGAGAGCATCTTTTGATTATTAGAGTACAGTGGACGCTGGCAAATAGTTACAGAGCCTGGCCGCAATAGCAAACTGGATTTTAATTCCATTCCAAGAAGTAACCCGTGAATAGCTGGCTAGACGGATTTACAAATGCCGAACAACGAATATGCGGGGAGTCCACTGGAGTTGGATTCTTTTAGGAGCCACTAAAGCTTTCACAAATGATTGAGACACTGTAGCAAGTCTGTCAATTTACCAAAGAAGATGTAAATCAAAGCAAGCAGGCTGAGGGAAACGGCGATAGCCAGCTTGTGATCAACGGTAAAGCCCAGTATCACAGCAACTGAGCCACACAGCAGGAGGGTGAGGAAGACCACCAGCCAGGAGAATTGGAACAACGGCTCGATCTGCTGCCCTGCAAACGTCTTCATTTCATCTGAGAGACCATTGTGGAAGATAGAGGAGTCCTATTAACAATTACTTCCCGAATACATTTGAGATGTTGTGTGAGTGCCTACCCTCGAGTTTCTTCAGAAGAAAAGATTTCCCACTACCCCATTGTGCGTACAGACCAACACAGATGGGTGGTTGCATGGTTGGCTCGCTGAGAATGTCTGCAAGAGCACTGCTGTACAGGTCATAACCCAACATGTCCCCGTCTGATTCAGTTGGGGAGAGGTGTTCTGAAAGAGACGAACAATTTAAAAAAAATATATAATGAATTGCTCAGGGTATTTCCAATGACCCCTGCAGAACAACAAGCAAATGGTCATACTGGCGCCAAATATTTGAGTGAGGATGCTTTTCTGGTGGGTGCAATCAATGTTGTATGGTGTCTCTCCAGCCTTGTTTGGGCGGTAAAGGAGGCGGCCATCTTTAGGGTTCCGGAGCAGCAACTCGGCCAGCTTTCGGCTCCTCCCTCTGATGGCGATGTGGAGGGGTGTGTCACCTTTCTGTTCAGTCAAGAGGAAGTCAAGTGAAATAAAGATGACAAAAGGACTAAGTCATGAAGAGTTAAAAGTCCTGACCTTTTCTACAGCGGACACCTTTGCTCCTTTATCCAGCAGCAGCTCGACGATCTCTATGTTCCTCATTTTTGTGGCTTTGATAAGTGGGGTTTCTCCCTCCTATAATAACCGGGTACACAATACACTCTTATTAGTTTTGAGCATAATGATGGATAAACATGGTGAAGAGATGGAGAGGACATGCGATATTTGAATCCTATGTAGCTGCGTGATGTTATACCTTGGTGCAGCTCTCCGTGTCCGGGTTACACTGCAGTATGTCTCTCACCATGGTGGCATTACCTTTCTCCACTGCCCAGTAGAGAGCAGTTTTTCCATCCTAATGTGGAAAAAAAAACATTGGGATTCACAACTGTATCAACCACACAAAAGAGCAATAGTGTTGAGGTAAAGCTGAGGAGAGTGAAGGACTATTATCATTACTTTTTGTTTTTTGGATGGAATCTTTTTTGACATAAAGGAAGTGCGGGAACAGAAATGGTACATGCGTCAGAGTTCAAGAATAGCACAGTTTGTATGCTTTTAATAGTCATATTATACGGTAGCTAGCATATTGTCACACTTGTAGAACAGATTAAAATGTTTTTAAAAAGCAAGCCTATTTCTACAATTCCTTAAATACCATCTTATCCTAACATGATGAATTTAAATTACTTAAGCATTGTCACAATTGGACAATCTAAGGTATCTAAGGGATAAAACAAATCTATAAGTTTTCAAACGTGAAGAAATATGTCATAAATTGTCAAAAGTTAGGGTTCCACTAAAACAGCAATACGGATTATCTCCAAAATATGTGTCATGCTTTCCATTTTGTTTTTAGAAACCCAAATATTTGCATGAACTCTGGGCCTTGGATTTAAATTCACTTCAAGTAACAACAGAGCAAAACAGAGTATCGGGTTACAGTGAACACAAATAGGCCTCCTGCTTACTAGTAAAAATCAACAAAAAATAGGAGAGGAGCACCTACCTGGCCCCTGACATCAATATCAGCGTATTTGTTCAGCAGAGCTCGTACTATTTCCACATGGCCTCCTCTCACTGCTCCAATCAGCATGGTCTCTCCACTCTGGAGGGAGGAAGCAGTGTGAAGGGAATTGCTTTTGCTTTCCCATGGGGATGTTTGAAAAACAAGTGTGCAGTGGGTCTCACCCTGTCTGGTATGTTAACATAAGTGCCAGCATCCAGCAAATCCTGTACAATTTCGGTGTGTCCCTCCTTGGCAGCGATGGCCAGGGCTGTGTTTCCATCCTTGTCGGTCATGTTGACATTCGGGTTCCTCTTCAGCAGCTCCTTGACCACTTCAGTGTAGCCACCTTTAACTGCCACGATCAAAGCTGTCATGGAGTTCTGAAAAAGAAACCATTACTCAACGTAACTTTATTTCACGAATATTAAAAAAAAAAAAAAAACAACCGTGGCTGCATCCAGAGTGATCTATGTACACAGAGTAAAATCCCTGATTTATAACATTTTTTTTTTAGAGGAAAGTCTAGTCCCATTGTGCTTTATGCATCCAGTAAAATACAAGTTTCTGTGTCTGATATTAAACAAATATGTAACTTTTGACAGCACCCATAATGCAGGCATAATTGACCGGTCATATGATCTATAATCTGCTTACGGCTCCTTCCTGATCCACATCAGCTCCGTTGGCCAGAAGGTGCATCACACTGTCGTAGTGACCCTTCCTGGCAGCCCAGATCAGTGGGGTGGTGCCGTACTGCAAACAGAGAGCAAAATGAAACCATAAAAGACTTACTGAAAAGTTGGAGAATATATTGTACAGTTACACTGCAGAACTGATGTAATTATTCAACAAAAAGTAAACAAGGAATGGACAGGCAGTTTTGTATGATTACTAGAGGGAGCAGAAATACTCGGATAACCTGTACGATTAGTACAAAAGTACATTTTTTCTGTTTGGGCAGTGTGTCATTACCTTGTCCGAGCAGTTGACTTTAGCTCCATGCTGCAGCAGCAGATGGACGATCTCAGCATGGCCTCGACCCGCCGCCCAAATTATGGGGTAGACGCTATACTGTTGGGAAAGACCCCGGAGATGATGTCAAGACAGGCCTGATGCTTTTAGCCATCTTATTATTCAAAGAAAGAGGGAAACTTAATTAGAACTCTATTTAGAAACCACCATCCATTCTAGTTCAAAGATTTTGAAATACACTATGTACTGTACAAAATGTTATCTACACCACCATCAGATCATTCATATATACGGTAGTTAAAAATAAGAATATTCTAATGATATATCCATGTCAAATACCGAATCCAGTCTTAGTACCTGACCAGTGATGTTTGGGTTCGCTCCTTTACTCAGGAGCAGTTGTGCCACATCTGTACGACCTTTATAGGCGGCCCACATGAGAGCAGTCCATCCTCCCTAATTAGATGACACACACAAGCACAAATACCATTTGCTTAAACATAGAAAAGGTAGGGAAAACATCTAATGACGACAAAGTAGGCAACATCAATCTGGCCACTACAAAGACAACCTTTGTAGTGCTGTGTGGGGACTCAAGACAATGTGCTATTTACAGAGGGAGTGACACATTGTACCAAGTTCACGGTGACACGACACAATCTCTTTGGTGTTTTTTTTGTTGTTATAAATAATGCCAATGTGATGCTTGGGGTGCATTTCAAACCACACATGGTTATGACTCAGATCATGTCCCTTCCTTTCAGTCACTAACCAGGGCGAAGTGGTTAAGGGTGATGGCGATTCATGCAACTGGACACAAGTGACGACTGTATGCTGTTGCTCTCGTACTTCTGTAGATCAATCGCTTTTCCGGAGGCAAATCCGATCGCTGCCTTATATGAATAACATGAGAGGTCTATAAATGAGATCGCTAAAAAGAAAGGAGCCATCAAAGCACTACTGGTAGTAATAATCTCATTTTCCAGCTAATGGATCTATCTTCAGCTTTAGCCAGCACTCAGGTCATTGAATGATAGCTATTAAATGAAGACATGAAGGCTTCTTACATTTAGAATTGTAATACTGTATGAATTCCCATCATAATTATGTAAAAATAAATAAATGAGTTAATAATAATAATCAGCAGCGTGTCATTTTTTTAATTTACATTGAAAACAATAATCTGCCCTTATTGCACAAGCATTCGCAATTCTGAATGGGTTTTTTTCGACAATATTTGAGCATTAATATTTCAGAACTTTTGCCTCCTGCACCAGACAATATCACATATTTGCTGTTTATTTTCCCTTTTCTCTAGTAGTAGGTGCCTGTGCTTCAAAATGTGCAGCCAACAATGGCAACACTTCTGCATCTGCTGTAATTAAATACACACTTCCGCCTTATCCCTACTGCAATCCGTCTGTCCTATTGCTGCCTTCCTCTCTCTGCCCTATCACTTTATCATAACCTTAATGGATGAGGCAGACAGTCACCTGGCGCTAAGTCTTCAGTCTGGTTAAGCTTTCTTTCTTAGATGGAGTTTGCCATCCCCTTTCTCGATTCGTGTCTGCGTCTACGAGTTTCAGTTGGTTTCTTGAAGGTAGAGTCTGACAAATGGTAAAACTGTTTTTATTACCTTACAATCATCATCAAAATTGATCTTAAAAATAAATAAAGAAAGAAATAAATCATCCCTTTCCGGCCCCATCTTCAGGCCTCTATTTTAATTTTGAATTCTTTTTTCTAAACTTGTCATGCCACCACAGAACTGACAACCATTATTTGTACACTGCAGCTTTAAAAACGCCTTCACGTTTAATGTGTGAGGAGCTTGGTCTTTGACCTGCTCCATATGTGCGCCTTGCGATGTCTTCTGCTGTGAACTGGTAACATTGACTTTCACTGACTTGACTTGACCAAATGTCTGTTTATCCTTGGTTTGACAATCACAAAGTATCAATTTTCCTTCACCAGAATTACTTCACAGCGACTTAGAATTTAACTTCTTGACTCATCATTTATGGACGACGATATTCTCACCATGTCTCTGTGTTCCGCGTTAGCATCGTTGTCCAGCAATTCTCGCACAACCTGGATGTGGCCTTCCTTGGACGCTGACATCAGCGCTGTCCAGCAGTCCTGTGCAAAGATGCCAACTGTTACCATGGTAACGGCCATCCAGCTCCATGTCAAGCTGAATGAGTGTCTGGCTGAGCCCTGTGTTATACAGAACCTACATGGGAGCGATGCTGGTCATAGCAACAAAAGGGACTGTAATGTGCCATTATTCTGCAATATCGGGTTATGTGAAAGGTACAGACAGTGTGTGTGCACGGTGGACAGACTCTGAATGACGTTATCAGAGACCGTGAAGATAAAAGTAGTTAAAGCTGAAGTTGGTTCCTACAAGTCCTGCACAAGTGGCGTAAACATCAATTACCCCTCCCCGTTTTTTCAACTGATGTCTTCATTGTCATTGTGTACCACCTTTTCCAGAGCGCTTTCAATTCATTTCAAGGTTGTTTGAGTCCATGAGCGAGCTTACAACATCATCGCAGTTAACATTGGCTCCTCTCCTGATGAGTTCCTGCACAATCTCCAGATTGCCCTGCTCAGCTGCCACCATAAGGGGAGTCTGTCCATTCTGAAGGGAGAAAATAAGGAGATCAAGAGCATGTTCGTTGAATTTAAATTACGCAAACAACCTCTCAATTGAGAAGACAAAGTGGGGAGGTCCATTAAGACAGCTAAATTTCGGACTTTTTTACATCCACGAGAATCGATTCGTGATGAGTTAGTCCTAAATCGCCTTGATGTGATCCCACTTTCATCACCACACCAATTGCTCTCAAGGATCCATATTCAGATTTGTTTTGCCCATTGGTGTGGACTGACATTTTATTTGTGAAAATACACGTTAATGTCTATGTTTGCAAAATATAAAGAGAAAATATCACCATATAGAAGTCGACAGCATGTATTTATTTTTTCCTATATAACAGTTTTCTTTTCCAGGCAGATGATTGTTCTTTTTACCCACAGCGCCCTGGAAGTACACCCTTATTGTACAAATAAGCTAACAGGATTGTTGTTGCAACTTACATCACTCCTGCTGTCGACGTCTTTGAACTTATCCAAGTGTGCTTTGATGGCAGCCAGGTTCTCCTCCTCCACGTAGCTGAACAGACTTTGGACAGCCACGGAGGTCATCTTCAGGGAAGTGGTGGTATCCATGGCTCAGTGGTCAACACCAGGACACCGCTGTGGCAGGAGAGGAAGGAATGGTATTGGGGCTTATTTCATACGTGGATACCAGGTGGGCAAACAGTGTCAGACAAGCAAGAGGGAGTGACCTCTTTGCAGCAAGCGTAACGGCAGTCTTTGAATAAAATGAAGGGTTCCAGAATGTAAGGTGAGCCAAGCTGTAAAACATAACACAAAGCATCTTGAAAATGAATATTCAATGTGTAAGGTAAATTATAGAGACGATTTTTGTCATATTTGCAGGTTCACAAGGTGCAAATGTCGCTATTTCCAACAAAGCATTGATGCAATTCGGATCAGGGTGAGAACATTGACCTCAGTCCTGCCTGTTCATGCAGAAATCTGAAAAATGTATCCACTCATGAGATTGAAAAGGTCATGATCTCAGCGCTTCACTCAGGAAGTCCAAAGTGCTTTAAGATGAATAAAACTACATAGAACAAATATGCAATATATCAAAGTGTTGAGGGTGGCTTGCGAAAGCATTCAATCCCAGAATATCTTGACTCTGAGGCAAATGTGCTAAACACGACCTCAACCTGCTGCCCATTCAGATATTAAGGTGTAGAAAGGTCATTTATTCATGGTACTATCCCTGTATTTTTCGTAAAGGGATATAAAAGAAGGTGTTCGTTTGAAATAAGGGGTTTGAGCTGCTTAAGACACATCTGGAGACTAATTTGGGCCTGCCAAGCCACTCTTTGTAGCGATACGGAAATATTTTAATCAACTGAAAACGAAGATTACAAAAAATTAAAAGTAGGCACAAGAGTTAGAAACCCCTCCCTAAAAAACAGCCCTTCATTTCTTTCTTTATTTATTTTTTAAGAATAATGGATGATGGAGAAGTGGAGCAGACATAGTGCATACATAATTTAAGTTCAGCAAAATTTTGGTTAGGGTAGGCGCAGATTTGCTCTGGTTTCACAGCAGTGTACTCTCATTTCACTTAAGTAACTACCAGGTCACAAATTCACCCTGAGCAAAAATTAAACATCTTGTGACTGCTCTTATTTCACAGAACAAAAGAAAAGCCCATTAAACATGGCAATACTGTAAGAGGGACTCAGACAATCAATAAACATTAATAATTCAGCGGAGTTGGGGGTCTGGCAACCAGTCCAGGGTGTACCCCGTATCTTGCCCAAAGTCAGGATAATATTCAGCTCGTTGCTAAACGTAAAAAGGACAAGCACTATAGAAAAACGATGGTGGGGTCAGAGTTGACATTGTGGTACGTCCAGGCGTGTTTCCCGCTACCAAAATGAAATCGCAGCTTCGGATGCCTGCAAGCGGCCTCAGAAGAGAGTTTCCCTACACACGGCTCGGGATTTCAACATAACCCTAGAGACATGCAGGCAGCTCATGCTCACATCAATATTGTCTGACATAATTGTTGGGCAAAGAGTGCAAAGAACCGATGTGGTGAAATACTGACTTTTCTACATGCTTGTTATTTTCCCATCATAGAAAATGTCAAGCCTGAGAGCAGGGGAAAAAATCCTTTGTTGACAGAGAAGGCAACAGTTGACACTCCCTCTCCGCTCAACATGGAGATGACTACATCACATCCGTGCTCTCATCATTCCGGGAAAAAAAAAAAGAAGCCATCAAAGAAAACTAACAAGTGTTCGAAGCTAGTTTATAACAAATATGGTAGATCGTAAAAGAAGAAAAGGGGCTCTCTCTTACCTTGGTGGAAGGTAATTTTTCAACACCAGTTAATCTTGTTCTCACACCACACATACACAGCATCTACAAACACTGCCTGGATCAAGCTCGGCATCCCCCCACCTCTTTTTTTACAGACTGAATATTAGATGAGGGGGGTTGGACTCCACCCAATGGCTTCCCCCCAGACAATAGCAGTACAACATTTCCATTCAGGGCGTGCTACACACCATTGCATTCGGACGAAAGGGGATTATTTGTGTCAGATCTATTTTGTGTGCCGTGTCGTAATGATTGAGTGATTGAGCCACAAGAGCAAATCGAAATGCCCAACATCCAGTTTATTGAAACTAGATGGTTCTAAGGAGGTCGTTTTTATGTAACCACATTATTATTTTCATTCATTCATCTTTCATCGCTCATCTATTCTTTATTTCAAATGTATATATAATATACAATATGCATTTTTTTAACAGAATAACATTTATGTGGGGGTATGAAACCAGTGTGCCCACACTGGAATGACGACACCAGAAAAAAAAAAAAAAAAAAAAAGATTTCAAACAACTATAGATCCATTGTGCGCATGCACATACACACACACACACATATATATATATATATATATATATATGCATATTTTTTTTCTTTTAATCTGTTTGCCTGTGTCTATATTTACCTCTACCTTTTCTTTTTTTAAGGGTGTTCATGTGACACAGCAACACAACAGCTTAAACAACCAAACTGTACATTGAAATAAAAGATAAACAACAAAATCACAAGGTATACAGATTTTGTTCATACCCAAAGACTCCCCTCCTTTCAAGTACAACTTGAGTGTTTTCTAATAAACAACAAACATGTACATAGAACATGTCTGCATAATAAGATTACTGTATGTCTTAAAATAAACATCAGAGCCATGTTGCAAACCCAAGATGAGGTGTCCTGGCTGGTCCAACAATATATATATTTAGAATATAAAGTAGGTTATTGACGGTTAAGGAAGCAATGACAGGGATAATTTTACTCATATTTAATTGAGGTTAAGTCAAAACCTGTCATTTCAAGATTTCACAGTACCTAATTACATACTACCACTTTAAAGAGCCCTTGTGGAACACTGATTAAACATGGAACAATATTAGGTAAAATTAAGCATTACGGTCAGATAAAACCATATTCCTATCTCTGGGTTAATTCAAAGCAGCAGTATGCTTTTTTTTCTACAGCCCGCATATGTCCAGTGTAACATCAGCTAACTTTTATCAGTTTGTAGGATCTGTTTAACGTTGGGATATGTCCGATCGTGTCTGTGTTTGTAAAACAAAAAAAGCACCAACCTCATGGAATTATCGCCTGTGTAACGTGAGCAACATGCAGAAGCAAGCAGTTTGCAGGCAAGACTCCAAATTTAACCAGTCAGCTCTTCATGACATGTCATGTAGATGTTAAAAATGCTCGGGATCCCTTTCCACGACCCCCCCACCCACCCAAAAAACACTCATAACCTTCATGCATGAAGTTCTTTTTACAATGCAATATACTGGATGGATTATTTCAGTTCATTAAAAAAAATGGCAAAAATGCAACTTCCTGCTCTTAAAACCAACCATGGGGTTGAAATAGTTATTAAGCCGCTAGATTCATCCTGAAGAAATCAAGATAATATGCACTAAAAGGGGTTTATTTGGCCGATCGGGTAGTGGGCAACTGTTTTGGGGCTAATCAAAATGAAAGCACAACATCTGGAGGGCACTTTTACCTGTCACATGGCCACAATGTGACATGTTTGTAGGATAAACAAGGACAGATTTGTAATACTATCCAGCGATTTTGTGCTCTGGAAGGTTTATTTTAATGTTAACTTGTTTCATTTTCAATCCACAAGAGGCGATGACAAGAATAACAGTCACGAGTTGAACTTCCAGTCGCTAACAAGCTAGTTAGCCAAAGCTCCGGGTGGCTAGCACATCAACAAGTACTTGTCATTTTAAATAAGTGGGGAGAAAAAAAGCACACGTAGAGGAACCGAAATGTTCTTACCTCCAGCCAAAAAAAAAACTGGGAAAACGCCGGGGCTTTTCAGTTACGAGAATACAATGTCATGATAATGTTGCGTTTACATTTGCGAGGCTTGTCATTTTCTTTTTTTTTTTCCAACCGAATGACGTCGACGTGGGGGGTATGGAGAGTACGGTACAGAGCCGGAAAAAAAGCAAATACATATATACACACACTTATATATTTGAATACAACAGAAACAATCAAATAGCGTTGCTTATTTTGAATACAATAAAGTTTAAAAGACGTTAAATTCATATTTGTTTATTGAGGCGTGTCACATTGCGTAACCCCGCCTCCACGGATGTATACTGTACTCTTTCTAGACAGCAGGGTACGAGAAAATGTTTAACATCCTTAAATGTGAATTCATTTAAAATAAAAACAAATACTCCAACATTAAACAATAACATTTATCCCAGAGCATATTTTTTTGTTTCATGGCAAAGCTAAAAATTAAATGAGGTGTAAAAAGTTTAATACAGTATTATACTTAAACTTATATCTATTGCTATGTATTAAATGTTTTACTTTTTCTTTTTTCGAGGTTGAAGAATGACATGACAAACAATGAAATTACATTTTGTGTTAGAATATGCTGTCAAGCAAGAGTGTGCAGATTTATGAGGAAATCCAGTTTTAAAAAATACACAACTAAAAGGATGACACGAACATGGCAAAAAATAAATAAATAAATAAAGCAGAAGGCAAAGAGGAAAATGTGTTGTGACAGAGGTGGTGTGCGTATTGAGCTTTTGTGAAGATTTGTTTAAATGGTTTGAAAATCCATAAATGATGAACTACATTTTTGAATATTTGATTTTAACACGCTTGCTCTGGACATTTAGCCAGGTACAGATATTCATATTTCAAAAATCGGGGGGGTTCAGTTTTTTTTTATTTTTTTTTTTATGGGGGGACAGCAACTTCGATTTTCATGTGAAATATTGTATTTTAATGTTTTTCCTACTGCTTCTTTTAACCGATAAAGACCAAATTAGATGCTAAAAGTATGTAGTTTAATATTTTTTTTCTGAATGCGGTTTGAATGCTAACTCTGGTCTTCCTGATGTTGCCCAAAATTTGAGAAAATGTCACTAATCAGTACACAGTTGACAAAGTCTACACACTCCTGTGCAAATGCCAGTTTTTTGTCATGAAAAAAGAGACAAAGGAAGAGCGAAAACATTTTCCAATTTTTTCAATCAAAGTGGAATATAACCTGCACATTTCAACTGATTTTTTTTCTAAATCTTTTTGAGACAAGAAATTAGAGAACAACAACTGAGAAAGTGTGGTTGCGCAAGTGTGAACTCCCTTCCAAAACTGAAAGAATTGAAAGAACTAAAAAGAAGAAACTGTTCAGCATGAACTAGTCACATGACTCATGTTGAATGGGAGTCGGAACACACTTGCCACCATTTAATGAGCCTCTGAATGATCATCCCAAAATCTTTGAGTAAAGTCTTCCAATCTGACTAAAATTGATTTGGCCAAAAAAAAAAAAAAAAAAAAGAAGAAAAAAACAGTTTGTTTTCAAACATCAACAGTGGTGTTTAAAAATAACCTCTCTTTATTTTGCCACATAAATCAGTATTGTAATGACCAATCATACAAATCTTTCAAATTTCCTTCTGACACAAAAATACCATTGTGACACAAGCAAGCAAGCACGCGTACGCGTACGCGCGCACACACACACACACACACACACACACACACACACACACACACACACACACACACGCAGGCACGGGCAGGCGCACATGCACGTGTACACACAAAATAAACAGAAAAAAAACGCGCCGTCGAATGCTTTGGCACTTTGGACATATGGAGCGGTTTGCATTGATCTGCTGGTTTTGGTGCCCATGCAGTGCAATCATGTCCTAAATGTTTCGTTTGCAGAAAGACTGACATCCCTTTTTTTTTTTTTTAATTTACAGGTGTTCTTCACCTTTACAGGGCCACGCTACAAATATACACAAGTACGGACGACAGGAACACTGGTATACACACGCACACGCGCACGCGCACGCGCGCACACACACACACACACACACACACACACACACACACACACAGAGTTATGGCAGGAATATGCAAAATGTTAAATCATTTCAAAAAGAAATCCAAAACTTCAAGTCAACTTGGCTGCTCCGCTGTTATTTTACAAATGCACCCAAAACAAAGAAAAAGGTCACAAAGTGAACATGAAGTTCTTCGATTGACGGATATGTAGAAATGTGACATTTTAGTGACACTGGTGTCAGGACAGCGTCCCAAGGGTGTCATGTGTGAGTTCCAACAAACAAGAAGGCTTGACGTGAACCAAAAACAACACAGGAGCCCCGTGTTTCTTACACCGTACAGTAAATGCACCTTGAAACATCCCCTATTCGAACATAAATAAGTTAACACAACATCCGGCCTTTGTACAACAAATGACAACAACACAATGACAAATGAAAGCAAATTGCACTCACTCTTGTAGCCTCAGTACACAATGTGCTTTTTTTATGCACTGCACCAATTTGGACCATTTTATTTCCCGTTCACTGGGATAAATTATGGCTACTCCAACAATTAAATAAGGATTTATAAAGTTAATGTGACAGGGTGTGATTAGAGCACTGTTACCGGAACTGTACAAGATGTAAAAGGTTTTATTAATTTCCAAAATTTCCACAATCAGATGTGAGGGAGATTTATTTTCACAACTGAAGATAGGAGACGTGTCAATTCACGGGGAGAGGCATGTTGAGCTGTGTGGACTTGCCAAAATATTGCAATTTTAATGGGGGGTTAAAATCGCATAAAAACTACTTATATGGAAAAATACAGGGACACGTCAAGTACTACGCTGAACTCAGAATCTGCATAGTTCCCTGACTCGTAATGACTAACGCATACAGCGTTGTAGAGAGAGAACATGTCAGACTGTATTTAGAATTCGAAAAGGTGTTCAAGTCAAAAATTTTGTTGGTATGTTCCATGCAACCCTACTAATCTAATGGTCATCTGATTAATATTGAGTCGTTGTCCATCTCATGTGACGGCCATTTTGCCTTGTACTGCCACTTTCTGTTGACTCAAAATGCCATCATAGTGCCTAAGAGCGAAGGTGAGGACATATCGACATGTCAATTTCAGTCAACAGCAAGTGGCGATGCAAAGCAAAATGGCCGTCCATGAGATAGATTAACACGGGTGGATTTTTCTGCTTTAATCATATTCCACAAACGCAGTGTTAATCCAAAAATCGTGTGTAGAGTAGTGGGGCCGTATATAGAACATATTGTCAAGAATTTTTTCCACCTGACTTCCTCTTTAAAGAGGCCAACTTCATAAGGTTTTCTTTAATACAGCAGAGTGAGCTCACTGCAGTGAAAGGTCACGATTGGTTTTATTTGAGAAATTTGTTGGGTGCTTTGGTGCTGCTGTTTTTGTTAGCAACAGAGTTCAAATGCGCTCAGTAGTTAACATCCATGTGTAGTAACAGTTTCCATAAGTGACAGGATGCGATTAGAGCACTGTTAATGTACCTGTCCAAGATCTGTAAAAAATCCTCAATGACCATGTTTCCGCAAATAGTGGCCACCGGGTCATCAATTGCACAATGGGGGTACATAGATGTAAATTCAGCAGGAGTGGCTTTGATTTGTAAAGAATTAACAATTTGTATTTGTGAAGGAGAAAAGTGAAATAGAATGCTGAATTAATACGTTGTGTAGATCCTTGGGACATAAACATGGTCACGCGCAACACTGTGGAGTGATCACAGGGAAAACTCACCATTAAAGAGGGCGTCTGCACTTGACATTGTATCAGTTTTAATATTGCACAATAAACTCGCACTTTATTTCGTCTGAAAATCTACCTATGTGAATCAGTGTTGCCGTTGTGGTTCGCAACAGAGTTCAAATAGGCTCATGTATGTAACTTGTTAAGACTGTGTGTAAATTATTAGGGCTGAAGATTTCATCAAATTCAAATTGACAAGGCAGTGTGGAAGAACGCAATTTTCAAATCGCAACTGCTGCAATTTTAAGAAAAACCCGTCGGTAGGCTTTGATTTTTTTTTTTTTATATTAAATACAGGTCTATTTTATTTATTCATTTATCTACAAGTAGTGAAAAGCCACAGATGTGTTTGCACTGCTGTAATCTCATATTGGTTATCGTTGTACATCTTCTTTTATTCCATGTGTTTGTAAAAAAGACCTTGAGAAAATAACATTAATTTGCAATCGCATTTAGATTATTTTTCAAACTTGTTCAGCCCTATTAATTACAGCCACTACTTTTTTTTTCCTGATCAAAAATGAGACATCTATTTGAGGGAGGCATTTATTAAAGTGGATGATGCACCCAGCAAGTAATTCGCGCTGAGTGAAGCAGAGGCCACTATTTGAGGAAATGCAGTATTTGCATTTCTGCCATTTAGGGGCTTGTGGCACATAGCAAGGCTGCAGTGTGAAAAACAGGAACATGTCAAACAAAATCAAATTCAAAAGAAAAGAATTTCACCCTTGGTGCTCAAGGAGGAAAACCTTGAAAAGAATGATCCAAAGTCATGACTGTGTTAATCATCTCCCTTTTGAAACGCACAGATATTTGATGCTGATAAGTCAGGTTTGTCAAAAAGCAGAAGAAAAATACATACTGTATATATATTAAAAAAAAAATAAAAATCCATTGGGCAAAAGTTTTCCACTGCTGGAGACAGTCGAGATCTGGTTTCCTCTTTGGGACTTTTCTATTCATTCGAATCTCTGCAAAAGAAAGCATTGAGAATAATGTCGTCACATCAAAATACAAAACGCTTATTATTAACGTCAACAGCCAGGTGAGTGAAATCAAAATTTTGAGGATCCTAAGGCCTGTTTTGAAAGTTGGCAGCTGATGATAAAGGTAATGTTTCCACTTAACAGAGGCTTGTATCCAGACAATGACAAAAACCCTCCACATACGGACTCCACGTGCACTTTGAGTACAGGTGTCATCCAAATGTGTTGTTGTTTCACCTGACAGGTACATAGAGGGTTTAAGGCAGCTTGGAATTCAGTTTATCTCCATCTTCCACAAGTAAAATGTAATGCAACCACTCTGTCCTCCTTGCTGCTAGAAGTTTGGGTCAGGTTCCGTCCAAGCACATCCAATATTTGGTTCCTCGTCCGTAAACAGACTCCGGCTCTCAGTGGTCTCCAATTTGTCTCACTACAGTATATGCTTGTGCCGAGCCTCATGTGGTTTTGTCTTTCTGGCTACAGTCGTTGGTCTGCGTGCTCTCCTGTTGGTCTTTGGCCTCGCGACGTCGCGATCGGACCGGCAGGGCCAGGACTACCAGCAGACACAGTAGATGTAAGCCAAAGTACCAGGACCTACAAACACACCAGCGACATGTATCAGTGCACCGTGAAGCCTCGCCATTCGAGAGACCCGCAGCGAATACCAAAATTCTACGTATAATAAGCATGGGTGAATTACTAGTTTGACGGTTTACTGTGGTTTCAATCACTTTAACCAAGTTATAGTCAAGTGCAGCTTTAGCTCAAGTCATAATAGGTTGAAACGTTCCTGCTCCAGTATTTGTCACACACACTTGGATGTCATAAAAGAAAACATTTTTTTTCAATATTCGAAAACCCACCCATCCATTTTCTAACCCGCTCAACCTCACGAGGGTCATGGATGTGCTGGAGCCTGTCCCAGCTGTCTTTGGGCAGTCAGCGGGGGACACCCTGAACCGGTTGCCAGCCAATCGCGGGGCACACGTATAGACGAACAACCCATCCGCGCTCACACTCACACCAAGGGACAATTTAGAGTGTTTCATTAACCTGCCATGCATGTTTTTGGAACGTGGGAGGAAACCGCAGCACCTGGAGAAAACCTACACAGGCAGAGGGAGAACTTGCAAACTCCACACAGGAAGGCCGGAACCAGAATCGAACTCTGGCCTCTACACTGTGAGGCCGGCCTGCAAATCAATCGACCACCATGCCGCCCCAATATTAGATTTATTTATTTATTTTTTTCCCAGTCGCAGGTATGACCTAATATTATTTATCATGTCACTTTGATTTTATGTTTTTGACGTCAGAGCATTCAAACGTGTGCTCCGGTATGTTAATTGTCGCGTTTTTCCCCATTGCCTGATGCGTGGCCACCCTTTTATTTATGTTCCATATTTGAATGATGCTGCTAATTATTGGATGTGCATTCCATGTCAGTGCCACAGCCATGTTAAAGCGACAGATATTATTTCCTCACCATGAATTCTCACTCACTTTCATTCATTCAGACGTCCCATTACACTGTGGCAGCCTAACAAATGGGAAACGTTCATATGCCCGCCATGTGCCGTATTTTCCATTTCTGCGCTCGATATTACAGTAATTTCCACATTCGAACACGATGCAAGTCTTGCTCTACGAATTGCAGTCATAAAATCAATAATCAGTTGCGCATCGCTTTAACACAGACACTACCTGTAGAACTTGAGCGAGGGCCCCACAGCCAGCAGGACAAACGGCACCACTGTGTAACTGATGGCAACTTGAGTCCATGCCCACGTGATGACGTCATAGATGCGCTTGTATGTGTCGGAGACCTGGAAGTGAGGTCTGACGTTGTACCTTACCTAAAATTAAAGAGAAGCATCATGTCAACTGGACTTGTTTGAGAAAGGAAAGAGTAATTGAACCTCTTCACTATACTACATAAACAGGGTTCCCAATTATGTCACAGTTCATCGTTCGTGCTCCCGCTATAGCGCAGATTTTGAAGAGACCGTTTTTGGGTGGATTTTACAGAATGCAGCCAAGTTCCAGTTTAGAGTTGCTTGCCTTTAGTGTAGCACAACGTTGTGCCGCAACATGTCGGGCAGCGTTGAGGTCTACTGGAAGAGATGCAGTGCAATTTATCATTGTACAGTTTACGGTACAGTTTTACAGTAAACTTCAGCTGGGAGTGACAAATAGCTTACAACGAGCACGCTTGGCATCTTATTTGTTGAACTGTGAGAGCGAGACCCTAAGAAATACTTGAAAAGGTGTGTTTCAATAAGTTTTAAACGTATGGGAGCCAAAACAACGGGGAAAAAAAGGGGTCGTTTTATTTATTTGGTTTCATATTGGAAGAATACGATAACGGGGGATTCAGTGTGACTTCTATATGACCCAAATTTTTGATGGCCAGCATCAGTGTTAATATTTAATATTATGTGATGTTTATACTGATCGGGGCACTCACTTTAATTGAAATACTGTATGATTAATGCATACAAAGGATTTTGTGGTGTGTTGTTGGTCTGCTCAGTAGCTGCAGTGAAAAAGCTTCTGACTCTGTCAGGAAGATGGAAAAAGTCAATATATGGAAGTTTTCAGAAACACTTCCTGGAACAAACATCGCGCGCCGTGTGATTAATGTGCCACACTTTGGATTGACAAACCTGTAGATGGAAATCACTTGAGTAGTTTTTGATTTGTGGTGGGAACAAACAAGCCTATTTTATTTCCTCTCGTAACGGTCAAGGGTATTCATTTTCTAAACTAACGGTTGCTATAGCATGTCTATTAATGGCAAGATCTTTATTTGCATTTGTTAAATGCAGTCACATAATATAGAATAGATTTTTTTTTTTCAATCCCTAATTCTCATCAGGTCAATGTTCAAATATTTACAGATTTCTCTGTTCACTCTGGAGTAAACAAGAACTTCACAGATGCCATGTAGAGTATGCTGTGTGTTCGGAGTTATCACGTCTCCTGCTGCACAGGTTGTAGCAGATATCACAATAAAAGGGGTTGCAACCACCTAGAGGAACTACTTGATATTTTTGGGTGGGGTGGGGGCTCTAATTGAGCGTTTGGTTATTCTTCAAGTGGATGGCAATGAATTGGGGTAAGGTGTCCTCCCCAATTTTTGAGTATAAAAATTAGGTCAGAAAATCATTTTGATCATTTCCTAAATTGTATTCAAATTTCTTGAAATTGTGAAATCTGAGTTTTGCTTAGCTGCTCACTATCATTATCAAAATCCTACAAAATAGAATCCTGAAATATTTCACTGTGTCTAGTGAAATTAATTAAGATAAAGTGTTACTTTTTGAAGTGAACAACTGAAAAAAAGTTTTCCACAATGTCCCAATTGATTGAGATGCACCTGCACATGCATATCAAGATTATCTGTCACGTCTTGCTGTCGGTGGAGGAAATAACACAGGAGTCTTTGATATAACTTTTGGATCAAATCTTATTGGGTTGTTTCGATGTACTGACTGTTCTGCCTGGGGAGTGTAGGGTCAATTTGTCCAGTTTATTCAAGTGGGAAAAACTGTTGGTTGTACTTACTGCACGTGCCGCCATCGTCATGCCAATGCCAGTGAGGAATGTCAGGTAGTAGCCCGGGTACACGCCGTGCCACATTGCTGAGAGCAGGAAGGTGGCGGCAGTGGGGTTGATGGGACAGCGCTCATAACACACCCTGAGGAAAGGATTGGTGAGGAGGATTTTCAGCTGAATTAATTTATCCATGATTTGAAAACAGAACAAAACGAAACACAGAGTCCGATGTAAGTAATACCTCTTGAGCCAAAGAGATGTTTGAATATTCCAATTGTCAAGGAAAAGCTTGAAACTGGTGGCAAACTGAAAGCCCACAAACAGACGGTTAGATGACGGCTTCAATTGGGCATCAAGAGGAAGCAATGAGTGCAAAAGATTTTAACCTCAATGTCCAGTATTCTGAGGTTGGAAATCAGGTCCCAGCGTGGGGAACCATCTTTGTTGTAGCCATTGAAGCCGAATCCTGCCGCATTGTTGATGGCATCAGCTGCAGAGGAAACATACAAATGAATGCTACATCCCCTGGGCAGCATTCACTTATCAGCAATGAATCGCCAGAGGAGAGGATGCATTTTGCGATTGCATCACCAGGGGGAGCTCTAATAACATTTTGAAGGCTGGGTTTGCACTGCAGGTCCAAGTGCCGACTTCTTTCCTATTTCGGATCTTTTCGTCTATCTATTGAAGTGGCAAATATCTGATATGGCCGCCTTTAACCCGGACACATGAAACAAACTCCATGTACATATGCCCAAGCTACACTTAAAATTACTCCACATGCGTCAACAGTGGGAGTGACAACACTATGAGTACTGCCAATCAGTGGATTTTGATGCTGCATTAAGTTCGCATTGACTGATATCGCATCCGTGCATAGTTTTATCAACTTTTGGAAGAAGCCTGACATCCACTGCCATGCTATTTTTTTCTTTACGATGACAATTTTAAATTAGAATTAATATAGTGGCTGTAATACGTCATAGGAAGATTAAACTTTCACTCTGCTGTCTATATTTTGTTGAACACCACATACAGAACCAAGTCCTCACTGTGCACAATCAATCAATCATCAACCACCCCCCACCCCCCAAATCCAAAATTGTGCCGAATCAAACTCACCAAGTGTCCAGACGAAGTAGTACTTTGGTCTGAGCGCCAGCATGGCCAGGTACAGGTAGACCACTTGAAGGTAGAAGGGTGTGTTGTTAATGAAGTCTTCTTCTGCAGAGCGCTCCACTGGGATCAGCTTGCACAGCGACAAGTAGATGGCCAGAGAGATGGCACAAGTACACAGCTTGGAGATGACATCACCCTAAGCGCCGAGGAGAGAAAATAGAAAATCATAAAGATGAAAAATTTGACACCGTCTCCAATCACACCACAAAAAGTCTCGAGAGTTATTGCTCCCGGCTTTTAAAAAGTCAATAGAGGGCGGGATACGTCGCTAAAAATAGCACCAAAATCTCGCAGTGGCAACACTGCGTCCCCTGTCATCATGGTATGGAAACATTTGAACCGGATTGTATTGCGCTTTTCCACCGACAGGGTACTCAAAGCGCTTTAAACACTCATTCATCTACTGTTCAGGCAGCATCAGGAGCAACTCGACGTTTGGTATTTTGCTCAAGGACACTTCGACATGGTCACAAGGGCTGAGGATCGAACCCGTAACTTTTGGGTTGTGAGATGACCAATCTACAATATGAGCCATGCCGCCCCTGTGCTGTGTGTAGAATAACTCCACAACAAGTTGCGACTACAACCTTGGGCGAAGGTTCACTCTGCTTGTGCTTGCCATTCTCCTTGCCATTGGCGTTTTCCTGGTGACGCGGTTGGTAACACGTGCCCTCGATGAAAGCCATGTAGTCGTTGTAGGCGCACGTGGGTCCGGCCAGGATGCCCATGAAGTTGCAGTTGTAGCTGAGGTACTCTAGCAGGCTGGGCATTCTCCTTCAGGGCGAGGCAGAAAGAAAGAACGGATATATTAATGACTGTGCACGGCAAGGCATTGAGGCACATACAAGGACCGGTGACAGGAACTTTTGGAGCTGACGTGCACAAAAGTCTTGGACACACAAAAGGATACATTTAGGAACATATTTAATCAGGGATTGGGCCAGTGTCTTGTCCAGGGAAACCAAGACAACGAAAGTCTTTGTACAACGATGAGATTTATTTCAGCTACAACTGATAGAGAAACACCATTTACAGATCTGTGATGGAGCGACTCCCCAAGCAGTGGGGTACAGCCACCTCTTATCCCATTTTTTTCTCCTTGAAAGGGATTAAAATCTGATGCACAACTTTGCACAGCAACAAACTTGCATAGCAATTTTACACATAGCAGGATGTGTGATACAAGTTAACAGTTTATTATAAGATACAAGTTAACACTGTTAAATGTCAAATTTCCAGACCCCTTAGTTGCCCTTGAATCAAAATCTTTGTCTCACCAAGACTATTTGGTTAAGTCAATGCTAGTTCCAATTACAGTGAATTCCCATCTACAGTTTATCACGGGAAATACGTTCCCTCAATCGAGAAAAATCTGCAATAGAAATACCTTCTTGATGGTTTTACCTCTCCCACACACTTTAGACACCTTTAAACTTTATATAACACACTTTTAAAAATATTCCTTAGCGCCTGTTCTCACTCTCACTCACAGTTCTCCAAATAAGAGGAAATATGCTTGCTGGTTGTCACTCCCACTTAAAGATTACTGTAAAATTGACACAAAAACCCAAAGGGCGTTGAACAAGGTATATTTTCAACACCAAAATGTTCAACTAGCAGCAGTAGACCTGCTCGGTGCCCAGAATTTTGCCGCAAAATATGGCACTAAAGTGACCAGGTTAAAATCAGTGACAGAGCGAGAGCGCAAACCATGAACTGCAATACAGTACGGGAACACAGTGAATGAGAACAATTTGGTGATGGCACAAAGTCAGGTCTGCAAAAGGCATGTTGGATGAGTTTTATGTTAGAGTTGACTCGCAATTACCTCAACACCGTTTGCTGTTTTTCTAAAATATAGATGAATGGGCATGAAATAAAAAATAAACAGCCACACCTTTCCACCTCTGCCATGTGCGTCATTACCTCTGTCCATATAGTGGGCTTGACAATAAACCTCTCCCTTCATTCTTACGTGTCAAGATGTCACACCCGCGCTCTGTTTTGCCTCTAATCTCTGCTCTGTTTAAGATGCTGTCCCGTATTAATTCCCTGACCTACTTCTTACATTCTTGCTGAACCTCCTCAACCGTGCTCACTCCTGCAGCAAAATGTTTGGGGAGAGGGGGGGGGGGGGCTGCAGTTGTAACGCATGCCTAAAAGAGATGCGGACCTCCCAACACGATTTTGGGATCACTCCTGAAGTTAGACATACTGAAGCTTAGAAATGATGTTTTGCCAACTCAAGTGCTTTGATCCATCTTCAGGCTTCAGACCTATCTGTGCCTACAACGACACTTACGGTGAGGTGGTAACCAAATCAGCTGGTGGCAGGCTGTAACATCAGAACATGTTGCAAGATTTGTGGCTAATCAGTGCTCCTTTTTTATTTTAATCATTATTATTGAGTATATAGAGTCGCTAAAGTCGGCAACATCGCATCACGCAATCACTTGCCCCTTAAATGGACTACACCTCCACCAAACATTACACTAAATACATTGCGTATGATAGTTAACATTCAAAACAATAGCATTAGTTTGTAATTGTATTCAAACTGTTTCGTCCCTACTCAGCACAAAGATTGCGTCCTGTCATCTAGAGCAGTAAAAACATACCTGAGTCACATACCTGATAGCAAAGTATTTCTGACTTGGAGAAAGCTGTCCCTCTCGCTTGGTCAAACCTACAAACAGATGAAAGCCACATGAATGGTACACAATGAAAAGCAGTTTCTGTATTGATCCTTCCTGCATTTGGGGGCAGTGGGGCTGCACTGCCCCACAAGATACAAAAATCAGCACTATAGTTCAGTTTTTCCTGTATTGTCTTTTTATTGAGTTTTTTAAAAATATGTCTATTTTATTTTATTTTAAAAACTGGAAAACCTGTTTTTTAGGAATGTGGAATGTGAAAACCCACACAAAGCCGTGCAAACTCCACGCACAAGCTGAGATTCCAACTCTGAACTTGTTGCTTTTGGCTCTCTGCCGGGGCCACACATTCTGCTGAGCAACAAGTTGCTATAATCAGATGACATGATCAGATAAAAAAAAAACAAATTGGAATTTTTTTTGATCTACACTGATTTGATGAATTAATGTAGGGTCTTCCTGGTGTCTGTTGGAAGGTAACCTGAAAAATAATAATAATACAGCTTTCCCAAGATGTCACTTGGTCATTGTAAAAACCACTGGCCCTCTTCAGCAAAGGTTAAACCGACAACAGCCGAATGTGTACTCAAGTCCTACACTAACACAAATGGTGGCTGCACTTTCCCAACAGCACCTTGGTAACAAATATTTGAAGCGGTGAGTCTTGACGACAGGCTGAGTAAATATTTGTCTTAGGAGATTTACCGGTAGGTTGTCAAAGAGAAGCCCGGGAAGAGGATGTCAGGCTGTTTTTTTTATTTCTAACAAATTAGGTTTGTGTGCAAAATGTTCTTGTCGTGCAATGTCGTATCCTCATGAATGAATGACCAGGAAGAAGAAGAAAAAAAAAAGCAATATGTCATCAGAAGGGTTTAAGATTGCATCCAGAAACTGTAATTTCTGCATTAGTATCTAGTCCCCCCCACGCCCCCCCCCCCCATCCGTGGGAAAGAAACACAGTCGTATTTTATCATATATGTGTACTGCATAGTACACCAAGGACAACCCAGTGAAATGGAGAAGTTCTGGATTAGAATCGTTCAAGGCTTCCGGTGTGGAATTAGCCCACACACACACACACACACACACACACACACACACACACACACTCGACTGGTGATTGTCTTGAGACTTCACATAGCAACTAAAATGTAGCGATGAAGTCATCATTCTCTGTGATAGGAGTGATACTTGTTCCAAAAAATCCGGCAGTGTGTGGCGTGACCTTGTTTGGCCAGAATGTAATGGATGTTCCGGCTTTAACTGCATGTGTCCTCTTGCAAAACTGAACTTGTGTTTTAAGTCAGCCATTTAACCGTTTAACAGAGCGAGAGAGCGCAGTGGGTCATTGCTTTGTTACGTAACAGTATTTATACTCTTTGTGCTGGTTCACTAGGCCTTGGCTTGGAAATGTGACCATGTGATCTGTTTTATGAACTGGTGACTTTCACGTGGAAAAGAGGCAGTCATGTTTCTCTTACCATCATGTATTTCGAATGCCAGGCTCGTAATCTTCTGTGTTATCACCATCATGGGCCTGATGAAAAAAAGAACACACAAGCCGCTCAAAATCGCTGTCTGGATCTCATACTCGTCCAGTTACATATACTGTATTTTCCGCACTATAAGGCGCTTCGGAGTATAAGGCGCACCTTCAATGAATGGCCTATTTTAAAACCATTTTCATATATAGGGCGCACCGCATTATAAGGCGCACAGAATAGAAGCTACAATAGTGGCTGGGGTTGCGTTAAACCCTACTCGAGCGCTCAATGTCTCAATTATTATTATTACATTGTGCCTCATTATTACATTTCTGAAATCATCCCACTGGGCCACACAGATATTGGGTAGGGGGACACAAACAATTGGGCAATCTCCAAATGTCCCTTACGCCATGCTGAGACGAGCGCACTACTAGCAGCGTGATGCATTTTAAGCGAATGAGAGGGGCCATGATTGAAGTCAGTTGTGATCGCTCCCATGGCAGAGTTTAATCAAATTCATATTTTACTCAAAGTAGGGGTTATCTTATCTTTAAATCTGTATGACAAAAAAAAAATTGAGGTAAACCAGCATCCTCAAACAGAACGTGTTCAACCTCATGGGCTCCACTGTACTAATCTTATACATAAGAAATGCTTGTAGGCTCTTCACCTAAACAATATAATTCCATGTCTTCGGAGAAAAATACGAGCGACAAGAAGAGAAGATGAAAGAGTGAAATTTGTGCTCTCCAACAGCCGGTACCGGTTTGGATCCGGTTGCCAAGCAACAACCCACCCCCAACGAGTGCAGCCAGTCTGCTTGAATTGTCACAAAAGTGTGGAGAGAACAGATCGCAACTCCCTTATTGACGTGCGTCTGGCTGGCTCACGGTGGGATAACTCATCGCATTCTTGCGCAGATCCTCTCTGTCAAGCGTCATCATAGAATCACATACCGCCGACGCCTGGTGCTTACCCGGTAAAGTCCGCCGAGTACATGCCGTAATCAAACACGTAAACACGTGTGATCTGACACACAATCAAATAGCCGAGAGTCACGATGAAGCAATACCTGTGGGGAGGGAGAGAGAGAGAGAGAGAGAGAGAGAGAGAGAGAGAGAGAGAGAGAGAGAGAGAGAGAGAGAGAAAGGAAATTAATATTTTGTACCAGTACATTCCTTTCTGATGTCTGACGGGAGGCTAGCGCATGAATGAAAAGACCCACGGATGAAAGCTTCAAGCTCCATCTGGTACTTATTTATTATAAGGGACAATAAAGCAATATGCCTTCTTTGCCGTCATGCAATGAAAAGTGGCAACGTTGAACATGACAGTGGGGTTGTCCCGATCCCATAATTTTCAATTGATCATCGTATGGGGTGAAAAGGTAGTACAGTAGGCGGGGGACACCCTGAACCGGTTGCCAGCCAATCGCAGGGCACACAGAGACGAACAACCATCCACACTCACACTCACAACTAGGGACAATTTCGAGTGTTTGATCAGCGTGTCATGCATGTTTTTGGAATGCGGGAGGAAACCGGAGTACCCGGAGAAAACCCACGAAGGCACGGGAAGAACATGCAAACTCTACACAGGAAGGCCGGAGCTGGAATCGAACCCATTACTTCTGCACTGTGAGGTCGACGCGACCACCAGGCCGCCTGTTCAATATGCGTATTGACAAATATAGTCAAAAAAAAAAAAAAAAAAAAGGAAAAATAGAAATTTGAGTCAACTTTGAGAGTTTCACAAAAAGAAAACTGCACTGATTTGGTGGAATAGGCCTCAGCTTCTATTCTATGTGCCTTATAATGCAGTGCACCCTAAATACGAAAACAGTTTCAAATTTTACTGCAAGTGCGCCTTATAACCCGAAGCGCCTTACAGTGCAGAAAATTGGATATTCTATCAATCCCTATTAGTCAATGGCGAAGAACAAAGAAGACAATGATCGCCACAAGGCATTACTATAGAAATGCTCAAGAATTGGACAAAAGGGCATCGGAGCATCCAACAATGTGTCACTGTTTGCAAACAAGTAAAAGCTTTGAAAAGAAAAAGCCAAGGCAGAAGAAGAGGAAGGTCTGTGGGTGGACTGAGCACACTCCAAGTGCTAGCCACCTAGCAACCCCCCCCACCCCCCGCTGCAAACAATAAAAGGATTGTGTTGCTCTCAGAAGGAGCAAAACACATTGGCCGGAGACAAAGCACCACGGGGAAAAAAAGACACAACACGTCCTTTTGATTCGGGAAGCTTCCACTGAGATGAGAGAAGAAACGGACGGCGTCACCTCGACTGCTGAGCACTTCGCTCATAAAACTCGTAAGTCCAAAGAGGCAGCAAGGTGAAGAAGTGCCGCCTGGAACAGTTGTGGCAGTTTATCAATCATGCCAGAGAAAAAAATTGCAGATTCTTAACGTATTGGACACATTTTTTTTTCAGGAGTACAATGGTCAGCATTTCACAAGAAGGCTCATTTGTGAATTATCTTTTGGGAACTAGTCATTTACTGTCAAAACTCAGGCCAAAGCAACAGCGGAACTGCATCCTAGTGCCAAGGAACTGCTGAAGTAAGTTGAGGATCTTAATTTAGACAAAAGTAGCCCTTTGCCGGCATGTTGTGGCATCTATAGGCAAATGCCTCAACAAAAGAGATTATTTGTCTAATCGCCCGTTGCGTGTTCATCGACAGCAAAAACAAACGTCGTTTTTACAAACGTTCATGGAAATGCAACATAAGGGATGGACCTACAATTTGGATGTGGATCAGATAAAGAATGAATCATTGGTGACACAGTGGGAGAAAAACTTAGTGAAGTGATGGTGCATGACTCTTGATAATCAAATATATAGGTATAAAAAGCAACATTCACCCTTGGTCAAGTACCATTGTCGTTCATATCGGGGATGTGTGAAGTTTTATAGAATTGGATTGCATCTACGTTTTTTTTTGGTTTATTTGTTTGTTTTCTAACAAAAAACAACAACAACGAAAAAAAAAAAAAACAACCATGCTCAGCATCCATTTTCGACCGCACTTTCCCTCATTGGTTTCACGAGATTATCTCAGATGACTTTGGGTGAGAGGTGGGGTACATTCTGGACTGATGGCCAGGCAGCCGCTGGTTGACAATTCACATTGTCAGATCATGCCTTTCAAACAGCGTCAATTAAAACTGTGATTTAATTGATATAGGCAGCATCGTAGCTGCCTTGTGTCCATGTAGATTATGTTGGGATACATGACAATGTTTGTTGGACTATATGACATTCTGTCGTATACTTTCCGAGTATAAGCCGCTCACAAAGCATTTGCGTTCAGAAGCATTTTTAATCCTCTTCATGATCCCATTTGCCGCCAGTAGCATAAAACTGCGCTTTTCATGATCGTGTGTGCGAGCGTGTATGCAGCAGCTATGTTTGTAGAAGGCGCAACAGGGATTCTACCATTATCCACATCTGATTTGGATTTGTGGAATTTGCATAAAGGATCTCTGTGGGACAGCAGTGGACGGTGCACTTGAGCATGTAAACCCACGCATGCAAAAGTCCAACAAAAGAGACTAAAATGTGCGTTTGAAATGCCTCGAAGCCCAGCACCACCGTGTCCACTCAAATACACGCAGAGAAAATTTCCATCTGCTTCGCTAGCAGCTGCGATGCAGTAATTCACACTGTATGCTTCACAGCTTCCACATGATGTCACATCTAACAGCTTGCAACGCAGAGAGGGACTGTTCTAAAGGTTATCTGCAAATCAGGCCCGACGCCACTCAAATCAAAGCATTAATCCAGCGCCTCACTGAGATGCCAAAGAGCTTGCCTGAACGGAGAAATACGAGCAAATAATCTGTCTCGCCTGAGCAGCTGAGGCGGGAGTGGCAGTAGGAAGAAGGTCGCAGCTGCTGACGTCACTGCTCCTTCCTCCCAGGCATAACTTGGCCGTTTGCCAGCTGGTCAGGGGGAGGCAACCTCCTCAGGTGACGCATGGTGCAGGTCAAGCAAAAAAAAAAAGAAAAAAAAACACTCTCCCCCCAATTTACATCTGATGTCCACAATGTTATTTGGTTTTGCTTATTCTCATTTAAGATGACCATTAAACATAAACAGTAGACTAGAATTTGTTCATACAGTGATCCCTCGTTTATCGCGAGCGTTACTTTCTACAAATTACCCGCAATAGGCGCAATCCACAAAGTAGAGGTACTTTTTGGTTTTTTAACCCCCAAACACACGGTTTCCCACCCTTGTAAACGGTGTGCAGAGCGCGCTCTAACAATTTTTGAACGCAGCTATGTATCTTCCCTGTTCGAGCCTTGTACTGCCTGCACTGGGTTCCGTTTTTTGGGGGGCACTCTGAACAACCAAACAGCACATTACTGCACCCACGATGAGGGAACAGAGACTTTGGGGGCGACGAGGTCCAGGGCGCATTCGCAAATACGCTCCAAGTGTGCGCTGCTGCACTTGGGCACCCCTGCTCTACTTCAATGTAAGTAAATTAAAGACAAGTGCGTCCTTATCATGGAAATCGTGCAAAGTGTAACATTATTCACTTCTGCTGAGCTAACTTGGGGTCAAAAACTTTAATACAGGGCGGCCTGATAAAGTCTTCATGGTTTTAAAAAGAGAATTGTTGTGTCCTGCATCAGTCGGAATGATTTTCTTTTCGAATTCGGCAAACGCATCACACAATGAAAAACTGCAATGCGCTTGAAGCGTTTCTGACCTCCATTCAACTGGAAGGTGGCGTGAAGTCCGCTTGAGCGCCAGTGGACATGCAAGATATGTTAGCATTATTTGTACTTGCACCCATTCACCAGCAGGTAGCGCTGTGTGTCACACTTGGAAAACTGAACGCGTTCGAGAACATTCTGTTGGACATGTCCAACAGGTGAACTGTCAAAGGCGGGAAGGGGAGTGGCACAGAGGCAGCCGGGAGAGTGGGAATGCCGTGAAACACGATGCCTGGCATGGCGAGCAAAGCGTTTGTCTTCCACCTCGCGTCATGCTGGGCCAGTTTCAAACCTGTTACCACAGCGCATAAAGCTGTCACAACACTGTACAGTCAATCCATGCGGCTGAATGAAAGTCGCAAGGATGACAGTTGGTACACAAATTGACTTTGGTCTGGGCCAAGTGTGGTAAAAATTGTGCCAAACTCACACAAGGGAAGGCAACAGCGAGGTGTGTACTTTCTTTCATTTCAAGCAGGTCAGGGAAATAACTAAATAATCACTCTTAACCCAACGTACACTAGCCCTGAACGTTTAATCGTTCGTTAAATAAAAGATATATGATTTTTTTTCCTCCCTCAATTTGAGACCTCATATATGCTTTCAAATTGTTAAATATCTAAAACATAAACATGATCCTGATTCAATGACAATGTTATATATATATATATATATATATATATAACTGCCAACCTGCTGTACTGCCCCTCCTCACCCTTCGTCCTGATGTTAATATATGCGCACAGTATATATATATTTTTAAGTTAATGCTAAATTTACAAAGCTTGTTTGGTATCTGGAAATAAAGCAAATAGTGGAAAGGAGATAGCAAAACCTGTAACTTGGTTTTCTGGAAGTAAAGAGGAAAACATATGAGTTTTTATTCGGGCTGCACAATATGTTATAAAAATATCATCATGATAATGGCAGATACAATATGCATATTGCAAAGGGAAATTAGTTTCATATGGAATTGTATGCTTTTATGTGACGTTGACCGAGCAGTTGCAACCTAAAATGTGCCACAGCAGCCTGTACATCATAATGAGAAATGGGATTTTTGTGAAGAAAAATCTGAGATTTGATTTGTCTCAAAATAAAAGCAACTCTCCGAAAGGCGACAGCAAACTTTGATTTTGAATAATTTGATTTTCTGTGAGCAAAGTGTAAAAATGATATTTTTACAGAAATTGGAAATCTGAGATTTTCTTTGAAGGCGATCTCGCCAAACCCTTGCCCACGAGCTACAGGATAATTGCCCAGGATAACATTTTACCGACATCAGACAATCAGACCTTGGGTGACTTTGATTGGAACGGGGGGACAAAATTCTCCAATTTGCCGCTGCTATTAAGTACTGTATATGTGTAACCCACTTTACCCTCACGCAAGGTCACAGTAGAATCTCAGCCTACCACTAAAATAATGCCTCATTTGTTATGCAAAGACGAGCCACCCCGGTGGGTTCAACGCCCTCAGCAAACACGAGCATGTCAGGGCATCCTGCCACAGTGCGAGGGGGAACTTTGACACCGAAAATACGGTGAAGGTGTGTTGACTTGGTCGAAGCTGCAGCACAATATGAAAACGAAAGGACGTATTGTATAATGATTAACGCATACAGTAGGTGTCAAACTCGACACCCGCCCTTCAACTCTCTTCGCCGGACAACATACACTGTATTAGAAACAGTAATCTGTAGAGTACGAAAAATTCACGTGACAGTCACATAAATAAGCATAATTGTAATTAATACCATAACACTTCCTCTACCATTTGGTCTTGTAGTGTATATTATTTGAGCATGTGAGTTAAAAAATAAAAAAGACCTACGCGTCATGTTGCTTACTTTATTCAATATGATCCTGTTCTTTGTTTTAGGTTATGGTCATGCACCCTGAGTCCTTTTTCAGAGCAGCTGCTTCGCAAAAAAAAAAAGATGTTTTGTTAGCATCTATTTTCAGTGCTCAGCCCACGGGGAAACATTGTCTGTTTACACCTGCGCTTGTAACCTTGAATCCAGGCATCAAAGCGTGTGTGGCTGTTTGTGTGTGTATGTATCCCGATCAGCCGCCATCACGCAGACGCAGGCCTCAGGGCAGAATCATTGTCATCGTAAACCCTGGCTCGTATGTCTCAAACAGAGCCAGACAAACAAACGCAGACGGTCGATCATACGAGGCTGACGCTGATCCCGCTTGTCCCCGCGCCCTCGCTGCGCACCGAGCGGCCATTTGTGCAGGCAAAACATGAGCAGCGCTTACTTGTGCATGTGCTCCAGGCCGGCGAAGACGATCACGCTGTAGGACAAACCGCTCTGCACCAGGAAATGGAGGGAATACCTGCAGCAAAGGACATCATGGAAATATATACATGTGACTCCATTTCCTTTTTCAAAATTACCGATCATTCATTCTGTATTTTATATAATACAGGGTGTCCAAATAAATTGGACATCATTTCACAGTCTAATAGCATAGGTCAGCGGTGCCCAATACGTCGATCGCGATCGGCCGGTAGCTCGGGGATCCCATTTTTCTTCTCTAACCCACAAAATAAAAGACTTCATAAAGAGGGTCTCTGCTGGTTGCAGTCAAATAGTGCTCTGAACTGCTTCAAGACAAAATCATTTATTCATAAACTATTTTAGCTGCTGTGTTAAAATTAGAGAGGTTATTTTAGCATAGGCAAAAATAAGTTGCGCAGTTGTTTCAGTTACTGTTAAGCATTGAATAAATGGCATCAATGATCTTCACGGTTGGACACTCTTTACCAAAGGGTGAGTTTAAGTGAATTATGTTGCAATGGGTCATCATTCTTTCAAGCATTTTTGACTGAAGAGGGATTAAGTAATCACCCACAAGACACTTGAAACAGCATAGAACCTAACAACTGACCACCAAACCTGACCATCCTGGCTTGCTGATATGGCAACCGACCAAACACCTTGCGGATGAATTAGAATCAGCCGACAATTTCTGTCTCAATACTTTTGTTTGTATGTTCAGTAGTCCAGTCTTTAAAGTGTCAGGCAATTGCAACACTGTAAGTCAAAGTGTCTTACAACAAGAACGTATGACGCAGCATTTGCAGGGATTCTCCCAAATTGCTTCTTTCTGTCACCCTGACTGACACCAAAATGAGGAAATGATGTCTTGTGAAAGCAGTCACGCCATCAACCATGTGGCTTCTTCAATTCTAAATGTGTCTAATCCAGACACAGGAGAGCAACCGACACCTGATTAGGATAATATCAATTCATCCATTTGTTCTACCGCTTTCATGGTCGCATGGAGCCTATCGCAGCTGGCTTCAGACATTTTGACGTGTGTATGTGGACAACAGCCACTATGGATGACGTGATGTGTGTTTTTCAACAGATGGACATGGTCACATCATATATACGTAAATAAAGAGAAAAAAATGAAAAATATATGGACCTGAAAGGGTCAAAAGAGAGTAGTCCATTATAAAAGTCCAACTTGTAGCAGCAATGTGAGGATGATCAAGTTAGGTTAGATCGTGACTATACAGTAAACCGGAAATACAGGTTAGTCATATCGGATAATAAATATAACAATTAACAATAGAGAGTATATTGGGAGCGCTACTGGTATTTGGTTTGGGTGTGGATATACTTGATTTATGGCGTAAATCAAGTATATGCACTTTTGAGTTACATCTTCCCTCAGAGGGCCGTTAATGACAGTGAAACCAAATAAATCGTCCTATCGTATTGATGGATTACCAGTTTTGAAATCAGTCAACTATAATAGTTTGATCCATTCGTGTTCACATGAGTGTCAATAGGGTAACAAAACTTGCAAAATGTCAACTTTATTTACGACACCTGACAATTGGGCCTTTCAGTACAGATTTTAGCAAGGATCATTCAAGCTGACACACATGATTTGCTTTTGCGGTCCGGATCTGTTCCCCGGGCCTTGAGTTTGACACCCGTGATTTACTCCATGTCAATATAACAAATTCAACATGATATAATTCATGAATTATGCAAAAGAAAGTTGCATTGCTTGCACCGTAAGCCTTCTCTGATTACATCAGAAAGTCCAGTTGGAATTTATGCACCAAATTTGAAAGTAAAAGCGCCCCATGCTTGCTCTCTAAAACCTACTAGGGCACAGCAATCTATCTGACATTATAGCCTATTAATGTAGCAAATAACATTGTCTGGCATGCTTTCAACAACATAAGCGTCCTCTGTATCGATCCATTTTAGACAAACCCGCTGCTATGACGTTGTCAGGCTGACAGTAGGACTTTTTTTTTAATAACATGGTAAAGATACTGTGTAGCTTTTTTTTTAATTCCACTTCCTATCAGCTAGCACCCAAACTGTATATTACATGGGCACACAGGGTCAGTTTCACTCACATATGAGTTCGTCTTTTGTTGTTGAGATTTACATGATTGTGAAAACAGTGTTTCACTCACAACTACTTCAATGTATTGTGTGTACATGTACTTTTGCTGTGGTTTTTTTTTTGTTTTTTCTTTATTTAAAATGCAGGTTCAAAATATTTAGAATTGTATAGACTTGGCCAAAATGGCTAAATTACAAAGTATGACTTCGTTCATCGATGTGGTCTATTTTTCTGTTATCAAGAGAATGGATGTTTTTCTCAGGCATTGTAAAAGTTGCTAAAGTCTTAACAGTGACAGAACAGCGACTACCTGCAGGCCGGGTATTCTGAGACGGGGGCTGTGAAGTTTAAAACCTGACACTCACTTATCCCGCCCTGTTGCATTGAACACAATTAGCTGCTTTCATAATGTCTTCTGGGTAAATTGGCATCAGGGGCGTCACTGTAGGATTTCAGACAGAACGCACCAAAGCTGAAACATGTGCGTTCACATAGCCATTCCAGCTTGCCCCATTAAGATAAGAATGACAATTGAAAGGGATGTTGGGCAATGAGACCCGGGTGTTAAATTTCACCCATCACGCCATAGAAAAACAATACTGCATACGGAATAATCTTCTCAGCTGTAATCGAGAAGAACACCTTGTCCCTCCCTTTAATCAACTGTGAACTAAAGTCGTCGATGACCAAAACCCTCACCTGAAAACACTCTCAGGGGATGCTCAGTGCACATTCAGTTGTTTGTTTGACGGAAGGGATCAATAAATGAAAGGAAGGAAGGAAGCTAAAGAATAGCACGTTATTTTACATTACAGGAGGAGTGACTCACCAGCCAAAGCAGAAGAGAGCCAAATAGAAGCCCAGCAGAGTGGCCACAACATGTCTGACGAAGGGACTGGTCTTACTGGGGTGGAGGTAGAGACGGAACCACACGGCCATGAGCAGCGCAAACAATTGGCCTGCCACAAAGTTAACCTGCGCAGGGAAACACAACATGGCATCGTTAGACAGTCACCATATAGCCAGATGCATTTCAGTGGCTAAGCTGCTACTCTGATAACGATGACAGACTGAAACAAACAGAAATAAACCTGACGCGTTACCTCGCGTTCTACATCCTACTTCAACATGTACAGATTGTGGGAATAATGTGAGTTAAAGGACCACAAATAGTGCTCAGTAAACTCATAAAATGAAGCTTTTGTGGCTAGCTCGCTAGTAACTGTGGTCTGCAAGATCAGTTCTGCTTTTTGTGTGTGTGTGTGTGTGTGTGTGTGTGTGTGTGTGTGTGTGTGTGTGTGTGTGTGTGTGTGTGTGTGCGTAATTGTAAATTACATCACAGGGCACGGTTGAGTCATAGCTTTATAAAACTCATACAGTGGTACCTTGAATCACAGGTTTCATTCCGTGACCAATCTCGCAACTCAATTTAATCACGTAGCCAATAGAGTTCCAAAATGACAATCTGTTCCAGCTTTCAAACACAGCACAATTTTCTTGTTATGGGATTTTAGTCAAGACAGGATTTGTGTTGTATAAAAACCCACTAAAATATGAGCTGAAGTCAAGCTGGCCCAACTGGGCCGGTTAGTTTCTTTGCAAGTTTGGGCACGAGTTGTGGTCGACATTAGTGCCTAGCGAAGGTTCTCAAAATGGAGCGCACCTCTTGTCTGAGAAGTGCTGTTGAGTCAGTCTCAACTTGTTTGCTATCTAAAAAAAAAATCAACAGGGTGTCAGCTATAGGAAGGTGAGCTACATCCACTCAGAACTCTACTCCGGCACAACACGTTTGGATACCATTATTCTGGTCAATACGACACCGGTGTCAGAACAGAAGATAAGAATGTTCAGAAACAGATTCTCTCATCCCAAAAGCCATTTTCTATACATTAGGGTCATTAGAGTTGGCTGGAATCTATCACGTCTGACATTGGGGGAGAGGTGAGATACATCCCGGACTAGTCGCCAATCAATCGCAATGAATATAAAGACACATGGCCATTCACATCTATGTGCAATTTCATTTACAGTCTACAGTGAACCACAAACATCCAGTTACATTTTCCCCAGGGTCCAACCTTAATGGTGGCCCGATGGTCCGGGCCACCATGTGACTGTGTGGGGCTACCCCGCAGTTCCCTGATGCTGACCCAACCAGGCCAGTACAGATTTAATAAATAAACTAATATGAATAATTAATTAATATGTAATATGAAGTTTTATCCACCTAAATTGGTCAATCCTCTTTGCTCTTTTTACTCCTTCTGCACATTACATCGCGCCAATTCAATGTGCATTGTGCGCCACATACTCACCTGCATTTTGGCCACAGAGTCTACATTCTTCACTGTTTTATTCACAGGTAGGCTTATAGTCTATGTATGGCTATTTTTTTTAAGTGGCTGCCTCGATTGCCCACTGACTGCATTTTGGCCACTAAGACTACACACTTATCTACTTCATCCAATGGTAGGCTGAAATATAAATATATTTTAAATTTCATTAGCAATTGTTTTCAATCACAGTATCTATATATTGGGGAGTGGGAGAGTGTTGATATTTTTTGGGGCCACCTTGCTCGCCGGTATTTGTGTGAATTTTGGCTGCTGAGACGACATATTTCAACAGGTAGGTCAAAATCTCTAACCGAATTGTGCACATTTGCACACAGTGGTTTGTACATTGTGTCATAAAAAGTACTGAAACTCTTCTTTAACCCTTTAATGGCATCAGCGAAGCTTGAAGCTTTTTCATTAATCCTATACCTTATGAATATCTTCCTGTATAATAAAAAGTACCAGCGTATGGAACAAACCACAGTTTCAGCTGACCAGTCGACACTCTGACTCAAGTCCTAAACCGAGCGCTTTAAAATTTTAGACGGTGTAATACGCAGTAAACATCACTAGACAGCAGACACTCATCTGATCAGAAGCCAACATGCTTGTTTGATGTCCCACTCACTGGCAGCACAATGGCAGGCTGGTAAATATAGGTCATGCAAATAGATCTGTCTGTCCGGTAAGCAGTGAAAGGCTAGAGACACCACAAACGGCATCCATTATCTATGCTTCCTGCATGATTCATGAGAGAGCCAGTGAGACCGATATAGCCTCAAATGCATACATCAGGGCCGCTAGCCAAATTGGGGGGGGGGGGGGATCTTGATGATACACCAAGGTTGGACAAACTTTTGAGCGCAGGGTCTACATTTAGTTTTGGACTTTACCTATACAGTATCTGCCTTGCACGATAACAGAAAAATGATGCCATTCCGCCAACGGGAAATAATAATGAAGTTTATAGCTCAACAGCTTCCACTCATCTTGCTCAGTGAGCAGATTATTTGGGGTTTCAAAAAAAAAAAAAAAAGAGTCGCTGCAAAGTTACTGACAATAGTTCAGATTGGTTTTCGTATGAGCATTAGTAAACAATAGCAACTCATTTTCCATTTTCAGACACGTAATATAACTTATTCATGAGCACATTATTTAAAATTATTTTACTAGTCATTCCAGTTCAGTGTGAAAAATCAACAACAACATTGCTGGACTGCGACGGGATTGTATAAATGTCAATTGTCAATTGGCGCTGATGAAATATTTGCAATCGTGCACAGAACGAAGACCGTTAATTGGACCTCTTTAACTTAACTGACGACCCCTGCTGTCCACCAAACCAGGATTGATTAATTCATTGATTAAGAGTTGTTTCCCTCAAATGTGTCGATTCTTTGTTCGTGAGTCTAGCAGGTTGCGATTTTCTACTGTTGTCATGGCTAATATGGCACCAAGAAGGATAAGAAAGACAACGGCAATCAAGCAAGAGCATTGAAACTAAAAGGCTCGCTCGCTATTGTATTCATATCAAGCAAACTTCTCCTCTAAAACGGAACGTCAGATCGTATTTCCATTCTATTTGCGCCTGCATATAACTCATAGGCAGCTGGGCGTCAATAAGAGGCGACTGCATATTGACTGGCAGCTACCTCCATCATTCAGATAAAAATAGACTCTGCTTCACCTCTCGGGGCTAAAAATAAAACCAGGCCTCGGCAATCAACAAATCCCATCAAGTGACCCTTCTCGTAACCTCCTCTAGCGCGAGGGCCACAGCGTGTTTACCAAACACACAGATTTGAAACTCATTTCACGCTTTGATTACTCCAAGCTGCTCTTTTTGCAGAGGATCTCGCAGCTGGTTGGTCCAACCGAAATAGCCACCGTCAGATCACCACGGAGGCAAAAGAAGCAATCCGTGTCAAATAGTTTCTTACATGCACGGTAAAAAAACAATTTATCAATGCGTGTGTATTTGTGGCCATGCCCTCTGCCCTCCACAGATCATCAAACACCTGCCACTGTGTTTGTACATGAAATCATAAAAGAGCAGTTTCCACGTGTGGGTGTTTCTTTAAAAAAAGGGACTGAAAGGTTTAGATAGACAAACAGGCCAAATATTGAGGAACTTGAACTTTGAGGGTGAAGTCAGAGGCCATCCCAAGGTGGTGACATATTGCACAGCAACAACGGAATGTCAGGTGGTGGATTGGGAAGGTGTGAGGGAAGAACCGTATTCTTCAAGGTAACAGTCAAGGGTAGCAGAGTGAAAGTCGAGTCAAAGTTCAGGAAGGGACAGGAACCTCCAACATGGAACACCATCCTGCCAATAACCCTGGTCGACTTGTTTGGATTTTTTTTTTTTTTAACTCTCATTGCAAATAAAGTATCAAGAATAATCTGATCATAAAAACATTATTAGCAGTAGGTAAAAACAATCAAATTTAGTGACGCGCATAATAGGGCATATTTGTCACTAGGGCTGAAAGGATTCGAGTAACTAGAATTACTGTATTTGATTACCAAAAAAAAAAAAAAAAAAAAAACGATCAATGGAATATAATTTACAGGAATAAGGCTTGGCTACGCCACACATCATTAATAGGTTATTTGGTAGCCAAAGTTAAATGCTGCAAAATTACAGGAAGGGCAAGACTCATTATCATCTTACTCGAATTGATGGGACAATCAGTAGAATACTCGATTCTAAAAAATATTTGCTTGATGCAGCCTTTCTTCTGACAAATTGTCACACAAGGGTAAAAATGGAAACATGGAATAACCAGTCATCCATTTTCTATACCGCTTGTCCTCTCTTGGCTCACACTTGAGCCTATCCAAACGCTATTTTTGAGGTTCATTAAAACATTTTTTTTTAAATCATGGACATCAATTATTCGTTGATTTTCACGAATCGAAGGCCAGCCTGTGCCCTATCTTGCAATATGATCACTCACGTTCACACTCTGCAGTGCAGTGCCACCCAAAATGCCTATTTTGTCCCAAAATTGTGGTTGAATTTCAAACTTGACCACTTAAAGACCGTACGACAATTTGATCCTACAATGCTAAAGTGACTTACTTGATTCATGCACGAATTTATGAGTTTTCAAGTCACAAGTCGGCGCTGGATTAATTTTTTGCTTTTGAGAGCCAAATTTAAAAAAGGTATGCGCAAGCTTCAGCTATAACGCCGCTAGATGTTGGGTCACATCATGAGTTACACCGAACCACTTCCCACTAGAGTTCACTAGGATTTCACGACGTGGCAACAACAAGCAACAGGTACCACTTGAATGAATTGTACTGGTGAACTTTGAGTTACGAATTCACCCAAGTTAGCCTGTCAACGACAAGAATCATTAAGCTTGAGTTAGCTTTAGCATTTTTTTTTTTTATTTGAACTTAAACCTGCAACCATGGGCTCTGTTTCTTTTTCGGTGAAACCGATTAATGTTTAAATTGTTGAGATGACTTTGCGAGTTCTCGTTCCCTCCGCTTTGTGGTTGTTTAATGAGCTGCAGGGGCCTCTGTGACCGCCGTAACTCACAAAAGAACAATCGAAACGTGAGGTGGTGACTGGTAAGAAAAATTGCAACATTGCACAACATTGCATCAAACGCAGAAACAAATCAT